GTGGCATTTTAGAAGCCCTTGGTTGGTGTAGTTTGGCTCACCTCGTGTAGAATTTGAATTTGTAAAAGACAGAAAAATACCTTTCCTTCCTTCTTTACCTTCATTCCAGAAAAGCTGTCTTCAGAGTCTTGGTTCTTTAAGCCAGAGTGACTTCTTTGTTAAGAATTTTGACTATTTAGATCTGTAAAGAGTTAACAAATACTTTTGTGCTTTTTGCCCCAGGCACTCCCTTACCTTTTCCTTCAGAAATACTGAGAAGGCTGAGGTATCGCATAGGCTGTACTGATATGCTACTTTTCCTGTTTGCAGGGTGGGCAAAGCCACCCTGTGAAATATGTCACTAGCACATATATCCTGTGTCTCCCCCCTTCTAGGACTTGGCTAATCAAAGACAGAGTCTCAAAAGAGCCACATAGATAGTTGATTCATAAAGGAAGCAAAGTTCAGTAAATTCATAGAAAAGTTAACTAACCATCTCAGGTGAAATTAAATTTAAATGGATGAAGAAAGGTTAAAAAGCCATTCTTATCCTTTGATTATTTCTAAGTTTTTAAATATAGTATTTTATATTTGCTAAAGTTTTCCCTAAAACTAGTATTCTTTAGAGCCATTATACCCATATATGACATAGAGACTGAAAAGCCATCCTGATGAACTTTTATCTTATTTGGATTACCTTGTACTGTCACAGCATTTAGTTACTGATTAGATAAACTTCTATACCAACCTATGATATTTATTTTTTTCTCATCACTATTTTTATTGCAGTGTTTAGAGCACTGTAGGAAGAACTTATCAAAAAGCTTATTGTTTAACTTGTTTAAACCTCAAACAGTGAGGCTTTGGCAGAGTTGAGCTCTTAGAACTCAGTATTTGAGATTCCAGCAAGTCTTCACCCGAATCAGAATAGATTCAACCTCAAATGAGAGATTTGAGTTGTCATTTATGGTATAAACTCCATAATTGGGACCTTGTCTGTCTTTTATCTCTAGTGGCTCCTCGCCCAGCTCAAAATAGGTGCTCAATATAATACTCGTTGAAAAAAAATGAAAATTTTCTTGTAGACTTTGGATTCGACTATTGCATGTTTGAGGTAATGTCTTGTCTCTGATAATTTTTCTTTTTTTTTTTTTTTTTTCTGAGCCATCCTGCCACCTGTTGGCAGCTGAGCTGCCACTCAGCTCAGGCCAGGAATCTAACCAGCAACCCTGTTGCTCAGAGCTTGCACTCTTGAGTGAGCTCTTAACCAACTGAGCCACTCAGCTGGCCCATCTGATAATTTTTAAAACAACATTTGTGCAATAGATAGTATCGATGTAAGAAATAGCCAAACCCGTGGAGAATTTTGATGAATTTATGTGAGCCAAACTGAGGACATGCCAGGAAGCAAGATCTCAAATACTCCCCAGAATGACAGTTTTGCAGTTTCTTTTATACATTTGGAATTAAGTTAAGGAAGATTACATGAAGATGGGAGAAAGCAAGGTACAGGATAGTTAACAAGATTACGTATCCCCTTGAGGGTGGTTACACCTTAAGGGATCTGAAAAAGAGGATTACTCTGGTTTTCAATGGCTGTTAACCTACATACACAAGAACAGTGAATGGACAGGGCTTGCTTAAGGCGAAGATAAACCTCTATAGGCCTGGGGCATGACTACCCACCATGGCCTGCCCAGGGATTTTATGATCAGATCACCCTGTGAGGTTACTTTTGGTCAGATTTATTACAGAGCCCCTTTTTTTGTCCACAATAGTAAATTGGGGTACTGACTGTAAAGTGTAATCTGGGTTCAGAGGAGGGAGAGGTCACTTGCCTAATAGTGAAACTTCAAGTAGAAGATGAGGTTGGAAGTAGTTGGTGAAAGATACTTTATATTTAGATAAAGAGAAGAGAGGGCATTTCAGGCAAAGAGAACAAGAATAGGGCAAAGACTGGGAATGAACCTGTGTTCAGTCTTGGACGTGAAACTAGGAGTTGGTTCTACACTCAAACTCCAATCTAGGCTATATATTGGGTCTTTGGAAAAGTCATGATGCATGTTTGCAACAGATGGTACTAGTTCATTTTTGGAAGTACTAGAGTCATTCGCATCTATGTTATTGCTAAGTCATTTGACAGCTGACAGTTCTAGCTTCATTCTAAATAAAAATTGAGCGATTTGGTTGGGTTTTGGAGATTTTACAAGTTGAAGATGGAAGACCAAACTGCATTTTTGCCATATTTTACTGTTTTACTTCCATAAAGGGAAGACCACGCATCAGGCTTGTGAAAAGTTGCATAAAGTTTACGGTGACAATGCTCTACAAGAAAGTCAGTGCCAACGATGGTTCACGAAATTGTGTGCTGGTGATTTTGATATCAACAATGCTCCTTGGTCAGGGAGGCCCATCGAGGTTGATGATGACAAAATAAAGGCATTGATCAAGTCAAACCCATGTTACATGAAACGAGAGATTGCAGAAACATTGAACATCCATCATTCAAGCATTCACAACCACATGAAAAAGCTGGGATACGTAAGCAAGCTCAATATTTGGGTTCCTCATGAACGCAAAGATGTTCATTTGATGGCGTGTATAAACATCTGCAATATACTCATTAAACATGAGGAAAACTATCCTTTTTTGAAACAACTGGTAACTGGTGATGAGAAGTGGATTGTTTACAATGTTTGCGCAAACGGTCTTGGTCCCGATGTGATGATTCACCTCAAACAACATTGAAAGCAGACATTCATCAGAGGAAGGTTGTGCTCTCAGTGTGGTGGGATTTTAAAGGTGTCATGTTTTTCGAGCTCCTACCAAGGAACCAAACAATCAATTTGAATGTGTACTGTCAGCAATTGGACAGTTTGAACGAATCCATCACCCAGAAACATCCAGAGCTTGTTAATTGTAAAGGAGTTGTGTTCCATTGCGACAAAGGGAGACCACACACAAGTTTGATCACCCATCCAAAATGATTGGTGCTTGGATGGGATGTGTTGCCACACCCACCATACTCGCCTGACCTTGTGCCATCAGACTTCCACTTGTTTCACTCCAAAACTCCTTGAGTGGTATAATGTTCAATTTAGATGAGGCTGTAAATCAGCACCTTGTTCAGTTTTTCGCAAATGAAGACAGGTCCTTCTATGAAGGAGGAATTATGAAGCTCACTGAAAGATGGCAAAAGGTTATCAAAGAAAATGGGCAATATATCACTGATTGATCTTTGTTCTTTATATAAATAAATGACCTTTGAAAAACATAGACAAAATACATCATGACTTTTCCAAAGACCCAGTAGCTCAAGAGTTTTCTCCACCTCCACCCCCAGGGTGAAAAGGATTTCAAATGCACAGTTAAGACTCCTGCTACAATTTCTCTTAGGGGTAGGAAGAGGATTATAGTAGAAATGGCCTAAGGCCAAGTGCTTTGGGGATTGTCTCTTTTTTTTTAGGTGATCTTGGGCCCTTTTTCTCTTGGGAGTCTTTTTTTTCCCTTTTGGAACTTTGCTTCACCTTGTGGTTGGTGTGGTAAGACTGGGAAGGAAGAACCAAGGTGGGAAATAGAGACAGGCATGGAATAGATTCTTAGAGACCTGCCACAGAATGTCACAAGAGCGTTATTTATAGGGCCTGTTCTCCAGGTTAGGAAAGTATGCGATTGGCTGGGAAGCCTCAGCTAATAGTGAGCAATAGACATTTGCCTGGAATGTCCTCTGTATTAAACAGGATCAAACAGGGTACCATGGGACAGTCCTAGATCCCAGCTCTTTGTTTCCTTGGAAACACCACTGCAGTATAGTTGAGAGAAGAAACCCCCAGAGAAGGGGAAACAAAAATACTAGAGGGGGAAGAAGCCTATTTGTGAGATTGATAGCCTTAAAAAGATGGGAAGAATTAGAACCCAGAATATATTGGGTTGTCGGAAAAATCATGACGTATTTTTTCTGTTTTTCGTTGCAAACATGCGTCATGACTTTTCTGACAACCCAATAATTAGAAGGTTCACCAGCAAAGAAGAGGAAAGAATTATCTTCCGTTGCATCTGAAGGGAATGCTAAAGGAAATGATGGTTCATTTATTTTTCTTTCATATTTATGGAATACCTTCATGTGCCAGGCCTGTGTTAAGTGCTTGGATTATAGTGGATTACTGTTCTCTGCTCTCGTGGAGTTTCCATGCTAGCTGTGGGGATAACAGTAAACCCACGAACAGTCAGTACTCTGTAAGGAATTCAAGTATGAGAGCGATGGGCTGGCTATTTCTGATGGTCAGTTCAGGATGTACCTCCCTGAGGATGTGCCTTTAAAAGGTGTGGCCTAGGGACACACCCAGGTCTTGTCAACATTTACTCATGGATGGGCAATCAAATATTGAAGCTCATAAGAAGGAGCTCAATTTTTATGTCCATTTGTTCAGTTACCTGCCCCAAAGTGAGGCTGATTATTAGGGCTAAGAGAGTTGAGTAATTAGGGCCTATAGTACGAAGAACACATCTATCATATTTTTTATGAAGTTTAGGGAGACCAGGTGATTCATAAAATAATTTTAGTTTTTTCAAGCTCCTTATATTCAAATAGCATTTTATCCTCATAGTTAATTCATCTTGATTGAGACCAGGTAAGTGACGTACAACTTAAGTAACTGTAATTTTCAGACCGATATTTTTGGTATATCATTATCACACAGTTCATGCTCTAAGAGTGGTATAAACTATTTGGAATCAAGATCGCAATGGAAAATAATGAAATATAGTATAGACATTAATATGAAACGGTAGTTTTAGGTTTAAAAGGTATAAATCAACTCAGTGCGTTATTCCTTTTAAGGAAATAAAACTTACAGAATGATTTTTCAGAGAAAGCCAGAAATTCACCCTGCTATTCCATTTATGGTTAAAAATCTCTTCGCTAAGGTAATGGGTCAATATAAGAGGGCTCAGAGTAGATACTTTCAGTTTCTGTACATGTAAGAATACAATATTAATCAATGAATTTGATTCCTTTGTAGGAACATACATTAATAGGTTCAGCAAATTCCCAAGATATCCAGCTATGTGGAATGGGGATTCTTCCTGAACATTGTATTATAGACATCACATCAGAAGGCCAGGTTATGCTGACTCCTCAAAAGAACACCAGGTAGGTAATGTACTTTAATTAGTGTTATTGTCACAATAATTTTTAAGAGGAAGAAATCACACTTAAGAGGAAGAAGGCACTGATGGTACACAGGATATTTGTCCTTTTTATTTTTAAGTGCACTTAATGAAGATACCCAGTTAATTACCAAGTCCTTTAAATTCACTTTTTAATAGTCCTTAAACCCATCCTTTCCTCTCTAGCTCGCAACAGACCTTGACTGGAACCCCTGCCAACACTCTAATCCTTTTCCTTGTCCACTCACCAGGCTCACCAGGTAGCCGGGTGGTTTTCTACTATTTTTGATAAAAAATTCCTTACACCCCTCCTATTTTTACTCCTATTACTCTGCATCTGCCATTCCTGTGGCCATCTAACCCCTGTTTGACCTTCAAGGTTAAGCTCTGTCATTATCTACTTTGGGGAATTCTCTGTTTGGTCTAAATTAAGAGCTCCTAGTGTATATTCCCAGTGTACTTTATGCCTCTCGTATTTTAACACTTCATATTGTATTCTTCTGGTCTGTTAACCTTGATTACCCCATTGGACTGTGAGCTCCTTTAGAACAAGGACCTTTCTGTTTTCACTCTGTATCCTTAGCACGTAATACGTGACTAGGATGGAAGTGCTCAATAAGTCATGAATGAAAGAAGAGGCATACCATTATTAAATTACATTTGTCAGTTTATTTCCTTAAACTATAAAGCTGTTATTTCCCTGTTATATAACTGTCTGTAACTAAGATAGGTGATGGTTAACTGACTTACACATTGATCTTCCAAATGTTGATCCTTTCATTATATGATATCAAAAAATCATTAATATCATTGCTGATTTCATCTATAAGGTCTAAATATTGTGAAGTTATCAAGCTCATGGTGAAGAATATAAGTGAGAAAGGAAAAGAAAAAAAGCAGACACTGGCCTTGCACTCTAAGCTAGGCTATGCTATTCTATTAAATAATCTCACAGAATACAAGCTCAGGCAAGGTTACTCTGAGGCTGTGATAAGACAAAGCATGCCACATAATAATTTTGTTTCAACACAGACAAAAACCATCGTCACTGTGCCACACACGAAAGGCCAAACACTTTCTTTTGGCTAATGTGGGTGACGCCTTCTTCATCAATTACAAATCCTCATCTATCCCCCATATAGATAAGATGTTTTTTGAAATACCCAATCATAAAATTACTCCTGCTTTCTAACAGCATCCAATATACAGAGAACCCTCACTTCCTTGGACCCACTTCCAAGTCATTCAGCTAAAGCCCAAACCTACAATAGGCCCTTCCAACACCCTCTCGCTGAGACACCCCCGGCTTCATGTCACGTGTCCTCTCCCTCTGCAGGAGTAATAATAATAATAATAATAACCCAACTCGTTCAACAACAGGAATGCTCCTGTCCTCTTTGGTTGAAGACACTGACACAAGTTTTCCAAAACTTTTATTTTCACTTCAAAGCTTGAAATTTACAATTGGCAACAAGCACTGTCAGTTGTTTTCCTCTTAAGTGACAGGCGAGTTTTGTTTATTTTCAAGAAAATATCTGCCAAAAGTCTATTTTGTATATGTCTTTTGCTCAAGACGGTTATCATATCTTGGCATGCATTAACAGTGCTTTTTGTGTACCTCTCATTTTGTCACGTGACATGTTTAAAAGGTTGTGTACTCAAGGGTCAAGATTTCATACAAGTAATAATTTTTATGGCTTCATCAAGGACAGTCACAAACAAAACTTGTTTTTAGATTGTGAATGATCCAGTGACTTCTAGTAATGTTTGATGTGACTGCCTTGATTTGTGCTAGACCCCAGTGGTTTTATTCATTGCTAACCCAAATGTCAGCACTGTGAAAAAAGGCAGGTTAGTGTTATAAAAATAGCTAGATCTTGGGGACATCACACAGACCACACTTCGAGAACTGTTATTATATTCATGTTTTTATTTACTAATATGGTGTAACTGCTGTAGCTTTTTACATTAGCCTATATCTGTATTAACCTTTACTTAAATTCCTCATTGTTTAAGGAAATTTAAAGAAATTGTGTCATCAAGGCAAAAATCTGTTAATTTTAGTAGGTCCTCTCTCATCATAACTGTAATTTTTGAGCTCATGCTTTGAATAATTAGACTATAGGACTATAAAGACCAATTACTTTTAGTGTTTAAAAACCCACATAGTAAGTAAAATCTAGGTAGAGAGTAAGATGTTGTGTGTATGCATGTATATAAAAATAACTAGCAATATAAAGCCAGGTAAGTGTTTTAGGAATTTAAAGAAACTAAGATCTTACAGGCTGGAGTGATGAGCAGCCTTTTCATAGGAAGTAGACACCAAAGTGGGCTCTGAGAGCTGAGTAGGCCTCGGGGGGATGGAAAGGAACTGGACCGTATTCCAGGTTATTTCTGGCTCTGGAGGAAGAGTCAGTCATGCGTAGTAGACAGAACATACCGTATTTGCCGGTGTATAAGACGACTGGGCGTATAAGACGACCCCCTAACATTTCCACTCAAAATACAGAGTTTGTTATATACTCGCCGTATAAGACTACCCCCTCTTCCGCACACCTTCCACACACCAAATAAAAGGTAAAACAATATCAGATTTGATTTCAACATTTATATTTATATTCAAATGCTTATGACATGCAGGAAAACTGTCACAAGGCTGTATGTAATCAAACATATACATAAATCGCGATTCGCGATTTTGCGCTATCATACTGGGTGTATGGTCGGCTGTGTGCGATTTTGCGAGTGTGGTAAAATCGCATAACAGCAAAATCGCATAACAGCCGAGCATACACCCAGCAGCGCTGCTGATGCCTGAACGGTATGTGGAATGAAGTGGGCGGGCATCGGGAGGCCACTATGGCACGGGGCAAGCACTATGGGCAGTCTATCTGAAGTGTACCTGGCGTATAAGACGACCCCCCACTTGGAGGCATATTTTTCAGGGCCAAAAAATTGTCTTGTACGCCGGCAAATACGGTAAATCTTTTGTTTTTCTTTTTTTGTTTTATTTTGCTGGAGTTGAGCGCTCACTAGAAGAGGGAAAGGAGGATGTAAAGAGGGCTTCCTTTTGTAGGGCCTGTCAAGTTATAGAACTTGACTTTTATCCTATTTCTAAGCAAACGAGTCATTCACCAGGAGAGAGGCAATTTTCTATTGCCTCCCCCTCCAAATTCTTCCCTTAATATCCTTCTACCCACCATTGCATGTGTTGAACTGCATCGTCAAGGTAAGCAGTCAAGAGCACCTGATAAATTGTACACATATTGGTAGGATATGGACATTTTTCTATGTTATAGTCAGTTACAGAAGAATTTAACATAGGTCTCATGTCTTATTACTGATATCTGTAGATATTTCTAGAGTTTAGTTGGTTGAATGGCTCTTTTTATCCATGAGATTGGACATACTCATTTTAGCTGTAGTGTGTACTGTTACCACCTTTAATTATTGGGTGTAATGGTTCTATATTAACTCTTTAATATGTTATATAGAAATTTAGAACTCTGAACAATCAAGTATAATAATCTATTATATTTAGTACCATAAGGATTTTAGGTAAAGCAGCAAAGAAGTAAATATAAGTAATGAAATTCACCAAGGGCAGGCCTTATTTGGGCAATTGATTATTTTGTTTTTCCTAGTAACTAGATCTCTATAGTATTGGAAAATTAACAGAGAAAACATGATAGTCATTGCTTACGTGTTTGGCCTCTTCTTCCACAGAACATTTGTAAATGGCTCCTCTGTATCCAGTCCCATACAGCTTCACCATGGGGACAGGATATTATGGGGAAACAACCACTTCTTCAGGTATGACGTTACTCACGGCTCTTAAAGAGGGAGAGTATTGAAGATTATACTGTGAACTAGAAGACTATATATTGAAAAGTAAACCTAATTCCATAAAAATTATACATTGTTTTGTGTACATATTTGTGTACTATATGTGTACTTATTTACTGCATGCATGTTTGTTCACTATATGGTTTGAGCCAGAGGGCCACGTGAACAATATACTCAGGAAAAATACTGAGTTTACTTACACATTTTTTCTTTTTATTTCTCAGTGGAAGATGATAGTTTGCCACCTGGTATAAGAATTCATTAATTTTTTTTTTCTGACATACTTATCTTTTTATTTGTTCCTTTTTTTTAAATTGGAAATGTAGTGGTTTTAGTTTTCTCATTCATAAAATAAGGTTTGCATTTCATTTAGCAATGCATTTAGCTGCAACTAATGGCAGCCTTGACTATAGTGGTTTAAATGGTTTATTTCCCTGACAAAACAAGCAATCTGAAGGAAGATGGTGGTTGGCATCGGTTAAGCCCATCAAAGATGTCATGGCAGAAGTCCTCCCAGAGTCCCCAGCAACTTTCCACTTATGTCTCATTTGGTAGCATTTGCTTCTTAGCTGAGAGGGAGGTTGACAAGGAAAGTGTCTGACCTGGGACTGCACACATTGTTTCCCATACAAAATCGGTGTTGTGTTGGCAAGGACAGGCGGGCTGAATAGTGTGTAAAATGAAAATCCTGGTCTGTTTCTCTTCCTGTCACTGGTTACTGTGCTTCAGATATAAACTGACTTTTATTATAGCTAATGGAGACCCTTTGCTTGTAGGCTAGTTGATCTTTTGATTATTGACAAAAGGGTAGAGGGTACAAAGCGTGTGGAAAATATTTTTCCTTTGTCTTCTTTCTCAAACTAAATCAAGTATAAATTGCTTGGCTTAGTATTTAAATCCTTCATAGTTTGGGTTAAGTTGATCTTTTCAGCATTATCCCTCACAACTTCTGCTATATAAATTTGTGTATCCTCATGTTGTTTCATTAATAATTTCTCCAGAGATGATGAGTGTCGATTTCCACATTTTCTCATGCTGTTCCCTCTGCCCTAATGCCCTGCTGTATCCTTATCCTTGAAGTCTCAGCTCAGATGACTTTCTTCTCAATCATCCCTTCCATTATTATTCCAGTCTTAAGTGGTCCTCAGCTTTTCTTCAACACCTAGCTTATAACAGTCATGTGGCCTTGTGTCATACTCTGTTATAATTTTTTGCCCATGGGTGTCTATTTTATTTCTACTACTAGAGTATGAACTTCCTGAGTACAGTAACGGCCTTATACTTAGATGGTATTCCCTTGGCAACTAGCCAGCATTTAATGAATGATATGAATGAGTGCATATCTTTATTTAAAAAATAATATTCTTTTTTCCCCCAGATTGAATTTGCCTAAAAAGAAAAAGAAAGCAGATCGAGAGGATGAGGAACAGGACACCTCCTTGAAGAATGACACCAGTTCCGAGCAGCTGGATGTAGACGGAGACTCCTCTAGCGAGGTGTCCAGTGAAATCAACTTCAGCTATGAATATGCACAGATGGAGGTGACCATGAAGGCTCTGGGCCATAATGGTGAGCAGATCTGTTGTGCAGTTTAGAATCTTTTAAAGTTGGTGGAGAGTTAAAAGTGTTTATGACTGAGACTTTTAAGTGTTAACAAAAAAGGAAATCTTTAGGTTGTTCTCTGTACTCTATTCTTTTGGATGTTTAACTATTACATTTATAAAAAACTTTCCTTCTTTCTCCCTTGATACACAAGTCACTGTAGACTTTGTTCTCATTGATAGAATTTCTCAGGTTTGAAACTTGACTGCCACTGGCTCATGATTGTAGTGGATTTCTGGGGTAATGTGTGGAACATATAATAGACCTGCTTTTTCTGTATGAAAGATAGTTTGGCATCTACCTGATAGAATAGATAAGAAGTAATTGGGAGCAAGGAAAGCTAAGTTTACTCCACACTGTCTTTAAGAGTCTTATTTTATTAAGATGACAAACAACATACAGAATAACATTCGAAGTATATTGTGTTGTATAGTTACATTTTTCATTTTTTAACTTTTTGATAAAAATCTTATTCAGATCCCATGCAGTCAATATTGAACAGCCTAGAACAACAGCACGAAGAGGAAAAACGAACTGCGTTAGAGCGCCAGAGGCTTATGTATGAACACGAATTGGAGCAGCTGCGAAGGAGGCTGTCTCCTGAGAAACAGAACTGCCGTAGCACAGACAGGTTCTCTTTCCACTCGCCCAGTGCTCAGCAGCGACTCAGACAGTGGGCCGAGGAGAGGTAGGTGGTGCCTCGGGCCTTTATTAGGTGCATTTAACCCACCTAGGTAAGATGCAGAGTGGAAAAGTCTAGACGTTACTTTAAAAAGAGGTATATTAAAAGAGAGGGGTACAGCTAAGAATCAATCACTTGACATTATCTTTTTTCTTTCTTTCTTTCTTTTCATTTTTGGAAAAAAATGGGAATTGTCAACTTCTATTGATTTACTTAAAGCTGCCCAGGTTAGGTGCTGTTCCATTTTCAGTTTTGTATGGCTTTTGGATTTTAATGAACAAGTACTTAGATGTTATACTCTATCATTGTATTATACTTTAGGTTCTGAAGCTTGGGTAGATGCTTTTTAAAAAAAGGAAAAAAATAAAAGAAAGGTGGTTATCTGGACTGAGTAGCTCAGGTAGGTAAAGCATGGTGCTAATGAGATTCAGATTGCAAGTTTGATCTCTGTACGGGCTAATTTAGCATTGCACTAAAATGTCTCATCCGTGGTTACAGACTGTACTTAACTAACCTGTTGCTATTCAGTTTGGTCTGCAGAAAGGCAGCATCTCTGTCACTTGGAAATTGATAGAAATGTAGCATTTCAGGCTCCACCGCATACCAACTGAGTCAAAATCTTTAGTTTATCAAGATCCCTAGTTGATTTGTACACAGAGTCGAGTTTGCGAAGCACGCCCTAATCTAGGGCCTGTTTGTTATACGAGTGTGTGCCAATGCTTATAATGTAGCCCAGATATGAGTGTGCATGGGTCAGTGTGGGTAATGTACTCCCTGTGTGCAAAAGACAGTTGTAAAGCTTGGTTGGCAGTTTGGCATTAACTTACTATGTACTATGTAATATGCTGATATGCTGTTTGACGGTTATCCCCCCACCTTTTTTTTTTTTAAAGAGAAGCAACACTAAATAACAGCCTGATGAGGCTAAGGGAACAAATTGTTAAAGCCAATCTGTTGGTGAGAGAAGCTAGCTACATTGCAGAAGAACTGGATAAAAGAACAGAGTATAAAGTAACCCTGCAGATTCCAGCCTCCAGCCTTGATGCCAATAGGAAGGTGAGGTTGCCATTAGTGGAAAAAAATAAGATGTCATTGGATAAAACTGTTCTATATTTCACCAGTGTTATTTAAACACCAGTGAGTTTGTCCTCATCCCCGTCTCTACCCTTTGCAATCTAGATCCTTTTGTACTTGTCCTCCTCTCTCAAGCAGAATTTACTTCCTTTTAATGCTCTGTCTTTGTGCATCTATGTCCTTTATCTACTAGAAATATCCTCTCCACCTCCCCACCCCCAGCCCTACCAATTTATTTCGTTCAATTCCCTTTCTTCAAATCTGTTTAAATTACTTCAGAGAAGTCTTTCCTGATGAATTTTCCCAAAGTGGATTTTCTCTTCATTCTGTTACAACTCTACAAAGCCTCTCTACTAAGTTAGGTGTTTATTTTATTTATGCCATGTAATTTTCTACTTGCGAATAGATTGCTCGGAAAAACTGTTCATCAGTTGTTTCATGTGTGTATTTAAGATCACAATTTTTTTTTTGTATAATGTAATAAACTTAATAAAATGTAGGGGCAAAATCCCACCAAAATCTTCTATCCTTGCCATTCAGTTGTTTTTCTTCTTATTTAGGTTCTTTTCTAGCTCTTGATAATGTTCATACATGACTTTTGATGGGGTAGGTAGAATTTTGTATTCAGGTAAATATTTGAGGGGCCATATGTTTTGTTTCTCCTATAGCATTTACCACAGCAAAGCTTTAATGAACCCTTCTTGGAGGTCCTATTCTAATTTGATAGCAAGGACCACATCTTGCCCTCGCTTATGGCATCACAGCATCAAGGTCAATGTCCTTTTTTTTTGCATAAAGTAGATATTTGGCAAAGCTGATGCTTAGTTTTTCTTAGTAATAAAGGTATTGTGAATATGATACAATCATTACATTTTGGAGAATTGTCTTTTGATACATATTCTGTGTATAATTTGAAAGATCTTATTCACTTAGAAGTAAATTTGCTTGTTGGTGTTTGTAGGACAAACCATGGGTGCAGTGGGACTCCTAGACAAAAAACAATAGAGGAAACCCCGTCCTGGGCAGAAGGGACAGGGCTCAGCTTCCTCTAGAGCAGCGGTTCTCAACCTTTCACAGGGGTTGCCTAAGACCATCGGAAAACACATACCTTCGATGGTCTTAGGAACCGAGACACCGCTCCTCTATCCGTCTCCAGGCCCACATGCAGATACGCCCACATACGAGTACCCGGCGACCCCTGTGAAAGGGTCGTTCGACCCCCAAAGGGGTCGCGACCCACAGGTTGAGAACAGCTGCTCTAGAGGCCTGAGAAGAGCAAGGTCTTTTTGCATTCTGTAGTCTTGGAGTTGAAAAAACAGAACCGTGAACATTTTTTCCCCATTAAGTATGACTATAGCCCTTTACTGTGTATCTTGGCTTGGGCTTTGTGGGAAGGAGCAATCCTGCCTGAAGGCAACCAGGTCAACACCTAGAAGTGACTTAGGTCACCTTGGGCATTTCTGTCCTCCCAGACACCAGATAGTGTGTTCATGGGGCCGGCTCTATTGCCGGTACAGATGACGCCATTCCTGGAGTTGAACAAGCAGCCGTTGTTAACAGATGGCTACTAATCTACTTTTTATTGATTTAATAGATTAGTATTTTCAGAGTTTAGCCAAAGAGAGATGCCGGACAAGAAGTATTTCTTAAGGAGACAGCCTCCTTAACTCAGGCTGGGTCTTGCATGCTTTTATCCACCAACACCTCTTTTTAATTATTTTTTAAACTTAATGTCCTAGACAGGACATTAAGTTAAGTTCCATGCTGTGAACACTGTTGTTTATTCTGGCCCTTACTCCTGGTCTTGTACTCACTTCTATCTGGTGATCTTTGGTAAGGGGCAGAAATTTCTTCTTTTTCTTTTTTCCACTCCCTGTTGTAGGTATTTGCAGAAGGGCCACGTCATGATGCTACAGCGGATTGTTCATTGCCACTTCGTGCCAGTTCTAACATTGTTCCCCTGAAAAGCCACTACCCACAGATCACTAATGAGATTTTCATATTTATTCCCTAGCTGGCTGAATATAAGATAGAAGGGCCTTTACAGTATGTGAAAGAATGGTGATTTTTAACCTTCAGAGTTCTAAAATCTTTGTTTCTTTATATAAATTCTGTTTCTTTGGAACTGGTTCTAGGCAAGACGTTAAAGCAACATTGGTGTGTTTCACAGTTCTCCAAAGTTCTAAGTAGACATGTCAGAATAGTTGATAAATGTATCCAATGACTCTAAATTCATTAGATAACTGATAGATACATCTTTGTGGGGAAGATAGATACACAGAGGTATTTTTATTTTCTATTTTGTTTTAAAAATTTTTTTCTACATTAAAAACATTGCTTTTATAAGCTAGAAAAACTTCAAAGAATGCTATTTTTTTTGAGGTGAAATTAACCATTTTAAAGTGAACAATTCAGTGGCATTTAGTAGATTCACAATGTGCAACCAGCATCTCTGCCTAGTTCTATACTGTTTTAATTATAAATTCAAACTATATTTGGAAATTGGTATCATTTGTTGCCTCCAAATGGGTAAATGGGATACTTTTCAGTTTACTCTTTTAAACACTTTTTTTTATATACCACATAAAGATGCTACCCGTTCAAAAAAAATTTAAAAATTTAAACTTTTAGAAAGCGAAAGATAGTTTCTTAACCACCCATCCCAGTAAACCTTCCCCTGCCATTCAGTACTCAAGACTCTCTTTCTACCCACCGATATTCCCTGGACATATGATGGCCCGAATAAAACATTTTTGACTTCTGATTAATCATGGTCTTGTCTTCTGTGTTTTAAATTTAAATTTATATCCAACTTCAATGAAAATTTAAATTTATACTTACATTTTTATTGCACTTGGATATACCCTCGTAAGATTTCTGGGAAGCTTTGCAATTAACAGAATAAAGAATAATAGTAGTTTCTGTTTTGGTTGATGATATTTGGTTGATGACTGATGGGTACAGAATGTTTAGGGTTGACTTCCATGATGGGTATCTTTGTGTTTCACATAGTTACTCTTACTGCCTTTGCAGCGAGGCTCCCTTCTTAGTGAACCTGCAATCCAGGTGAGAAGAAAAGGAAAAGGAAAGCAGATTTGGTCTTTGGAAAAACTGGACAACAGGTTGTTGGATATGAGAGACCTTTATCAAGAGTGGAAGGAGTGTGAAGAAGATACCCCAGTAAGTTATTAAAAAAATTACTTTGCTGATACTCATAGAAGGAACCAAGCAGGAATGAGTCTACCCATTTAAGGGAAAAATTACTCATTTTTCCAAAATATTTCTAGAGTATTTATTTTAATCCTCTAAGTTACTTAGCTAATCAAGAATTTTAATAACCCATTATTCTGGTATCTTCTTCTTTCTTTTCCTCATTTTGTGTTACCTGGATTTCTAGTCGAATTTTTTATATTGCATTCTTACTCCCGTTGGTGTTACATGTTTCTGTCTCCTGTACTGGACTGTGAATTTATTTAAAATAGGACAGAGACCACACTTTATTATCTCTCTTCTATTTCTCAACACATTTTAACCTTGCAAATAATAAACCTACAATATCTGTTTTTTTAATTGAACATCAGCCGTATCTGAATATTTATACTATTAGGAACATAATTTGAAGGTATTTTGATCCTTAGGTAGGTGCCATAGATCTGTACTCTGATACTCTCCTGAAGTTGTAGGTTTTCTCATTTAGATCAGCTGTGTACTTGTGCATATTTAAAATAGAAAATAATGTATTATGTATATTTTTACATATTTTCCATACTGCTGGACTTGCTGCTGCATATAGTCGTTTACTTCCTTAGCCTCTTGTTTTGTGAAAATGTTTATTTTGCCAGAATGTCATCAATAAAAATCACTTCTTACAGTTACATGACATTTTTTCTTAATTTTTTTTTGTTTTCTTCTCTATCCCTGCCCTATTTCAGTGTAGAAATAAAACCACATTAACAACAAATACAACAAAGCAAACTATTCTCCTGTAAGAGGTCACCTCTCATTAGCAGCAGCATGTCTAATGATTTGGTAGAAACAAGTGGAATAGATATAAATGAAAAGTGAAAACTACTTTTGTACACTCTACTATTTCTAGTCTATATATGCTTTCTCTGTTTTCATGGCAAGATTTGCACTTAAAGGAGAAGAAATGATAAAAGTAATGAAATGTTAATGGGATTGTTCCCTCACAGGTGAAGGATGCTGACCACCATTTTAAATATGAATGAGACGGAGGGAGAGAGACTATGAGCATGTGTATGTGTGTGTGTAATACAGTGCTACACCTCAGCTAAGTTTAATGACTTTATTAGCGTGCATCAAAAAAAGTGGTGGTTGAATTCATGTATTTTAAGCGATTTTCTGAAGTTGTATGTTCCGAATCTCTTTAAAGGTAATACGGTCTTACTTCAAGCGTGCTGATCCATTCTATGATGAGCAGGAAAATCACAGCCTCATTGGAGTGGCTAATGTCTTCCTCGAGTCCCTCTTCTACGATGTGAAGTTACAATATGCTGTTCCAATTGTCAACCAGAAAGGAGAGGTTAGTCTTCTCTCCATGCCTTGTATCCTGCAGAGAATGGTTCAAGACACAGTAGGGTGTTGATAATACATTGTTGAGTTTCGTCAGTAATGACAAGTGGCATTTGTGTGTGTTATTAATACCTGCGTTTTCATGCTGCTTAATGGTGATTATTGCAAGCATTTTGAAGGAAAGTTACTGTTAGAATCTAGGCTTCTAGATTCTCATACACCGTTAACCTAACCACTTGACTCTAAGACAGAAGAAAGAACAAAATCTGGAAAAAGTGTCTGTCGTTTCCCTCATTGGTGCAGGTGGCCGGCCGGTTGCACGTAGAGGTGATGCGAATCAGTGGTGACATTGTGGAGAGGATTGCCGGAGGAGACGATGCCACAGATGCCTCTTTTGACAAGGAATCCCATGAGAACAAACTTACGTGCATGGTAAGTCCCAGTTTCATTGAGAAGTCATAGAAATGAGGGTCATTTTGAGGATTGTGGGTATTTAGATAGTGAGTTATTTATTTTTCAAATTTTGAAAATAGCTGTCTCTAAATCTTTAATATTTACTATTTCATCATATATCCTGATGTACCGGTTAGCCTGGTAGTTCCATTCCCCTCCTCTCTGAAGCCTTGGGTAAGATAGCTCTTTCCTCTGGGCCATTCCGCTCCAAAATTATATGGATTTGTGTTTATCTGAAGTTCTTAAGGTGCAACCTGTGCAGCTCGTGTGTGTGTCTAAGGGGGACACACGTGAACAGAAGACTCTAATATTGTGTGATCCAAATGCTCTGAAAGAGGTAGACAAGTGATATTCTGGGACACAGAGGAAAGGCCATTAATTAATTCAGGTAGCAAACTCTGAGGAAATTTTCTGGAAAAAAATCACACCCAGCATGAACTTGAAGGAGAACATGTTATGTAAAAACTTTTGCTCCATAAGGTGCTGTGGTATTTTCACAGGTATTTGTAAGTAGATTTTAGGTAGGTCATTACATTCTATTCTTTTTTTTTTATTTTTTTATTAGCTGAGCCATCTTGCCATCTGTTGGCAGCTCAGCGGCTGCTCAGCTCGGGCTGGGACTCAAACTGCTGTTGCTCAGAGCTCACACTCTTGAGCGAGCTCTTAACCAACTGAGCCACCCGGCCGGCCCCCACGGTCATTACATTCTTGGACTTTTGCTCAATCAGCATGGGCAGTGCCACCTCTGTCATTCATGACAATGAAAAAAATCCCCTCTTACATTTCCAAACACAGTCTAGTGAACCAGTATGTCATTGGTTGAGGATCACTGAGGAACCAGCTAAAAAGGATTTTGAGGAAGAGAAGCCAGCAAGGGGTGTAGGAATAGTATAGGAGTGAGGAGGATGCCATTAAACGCTCAAGTGAAGGAAGCCTAACATGACTCTTATTTCATGACCCATCCTATGTCCAGGCCTGTGTCTCAGCACGTAATTCTAGAATTGAAGCTGATACTGAAAAGAGTAAGTTAGGAATTACCGGCAAGCGGGGAAGCTAAAGCCATTAAAAGTTGGGCTGCTTTCTGTAGGTCTTTGCCTAGATTCAGAAGGCCTCAGATGTTTAAGTCAGTAAAAGGGAAAATTCTTTAAAAAGAAAAAATTTAAGAGTTTATTTGAGCAAAAATCGATTTGAATTGGGCTGTGCCAAGCTGGACATGGTAGGAGTGCTCTGCAGACAGGAGCCAGGGGAAAGACACAGAGAAAGTCGGGCGGGGTGGGGGAGTGAGGGGGGAGATTCTTAATTCACTAAAAGGTTAATCTTTATTGCATTATATTTAATTTCAGAACGTTTCCTTTGAGGTTATAGGATTACCAGAGATGGAGACACAGGCTCAATGACTCCATAATGGCCCATTTTAAAGGTGATGGACTAGTGAAAAGATCAACTGTGTGAAAGTTTACCATGAGTAAAGCAACATATAAGGATACTATCTCACTTGGAAAATTGGTCTTTATCACCGAAAAGAAGTTTTGGGTTGTCGGAAAAGTCATGATGCATTTTTCCAAAGAAAAACAGAAAAATACGTCATGACTTTTCCAATAGCCCAATAGTATATCCTGGGTAACAGCTTTTTTTTTTTTTTTTAATGTAGTTAAAGTATCTTAAGATTTTTAAAATTACAATATCAAACATACATAAAAAGTAGTGAGAAAAGTATTATTGATCCCCATTTACCCTCCCTCGACAGAATCAACTCCTGGTCAGTCTTGTTTTATTCATACACCCAAGCTGCGTCTATGCTGTTTCTTTCCCTTGGATTATTTTGAAGCAACATAGACATCATATTTCATCTATAGTTTGGTATCGCCAAAACAAGCATGCCTAAAGAATCAACATAACCATAATATGATAATTAAAAATTGGTAACTTCCTTAATATGAAATATGCAGTTTGTTTGTCTTAGTTGTTGTGTCTCGAAGGCAATTATTTTAATCTTTAGGCTCTGGCACTTGTGCGTGTTTTCGCTTCCTGTCTCTCTTTGACCCTCTGTCTCTCTGTCTCTCTTCTCTGTTACCCTCTAATTTACTGATTGTAGAAACTTGTTTGTTGCCTTGCATTTTCTTAGTCTGGATTTTGCTGATTGGTATTTAACATTTTAAGATGTATTGGGGTAAATTGGTAGTTAGATTTAAAGGCGATGTATGGGGGATGGAGAACAGTGAGGATACTTTATAGGTGGCGGCCTGTTCTTCCATCAGAAGGCACGTTATGTCTAGATCTCTTTTGGGGATGTTAGAAATCATTGGTAATTATTACCTAGATATTTCATGAGGCATTAGAAAAGAATGATATTATAATTCTATCATTCCTTCATTTATTAGCTGGAATCCTATAGAGAGAATGTTCTTGAGCAGCAGAAAGTTGAAATCTGTGATATTCTGACACCTTGTGGTGATTTTTGGTTTCTGTCTGCAAAAATGAAAAAATCAAAACAAAACAAGCCCCAAACCTATGTTCTAGATATCAAGATATTCCTCATTCCTGATATTCTTCATTCCTGGGACGTCACATTCCTGAGAAGTTGCCTATTGGGGAGAGTTCAACATATGAAATCTTGCTTTCTTATTTATTTCAACCTTAAAATAGAGGCTGATTTCTAAGGGGAAAAGAAAGGCTTTCAAATAGAATTCAATCACAAAGACGTATGTATTGAACATCTATCCACTCAAAGCTTGGTAGTGTTTTCATTCATTCCATTTTATTGGTATGGTCAGTTCTCACACCAGTATCATTGGGCAGCTATCCTATTTCACAAGGAGGAAAATTCAGCTTAAGAAAACTAAGATTTTAAGTAATTTGCTTAAAAACAGAAGCTAATAAGTGGCAGAGATTTTTATTTAGAGCTAAGTACTCCAAAATCTTGTAGTCTTCCCAAGTACCATATTGCCTCACCTTAAAGAATATAATAAGCATTTTTAACAAATGAAAAAGTGATGGTTTTTTAAATTTAATGAAAAATTAATTGCTGAAAACTGATTATACTGTATTTGGTTTGAATGAATAAAATGTGTTAGTTAGTACACCTTTTATAGCCTGTCAGGGAATTGCTATCTAGATGTTTCTATCTAGATGGCAACTCTTGTTGCCATCACAGGGAAAAATGAATCATAATAGGAGTTCCCATTCATTGCTTACCCTTATGGACCTTGTAGAGAAGAAAAGAAAGTCAGCTGCTTTGTGAGATTTTCTTTGTTTTTATTCTGGCTTCCTGAAGTGTTAAGACTATTATATTTGTGGTTACACCAACTTCTGCCACATAGTCAAATCAGTTTTTGTTAAATTTATTTACTGAAGGAAGAGTGCATCATACAACATGCAGGAAGTGACCAGGTGAAGAAGAATAAAGATCAATGCTCGGTCATATGAAAGTCATCCTAATCAATTATAAAATCAGAATTTAGCTTAATTAATTTTAGAATTTAAATTCTTTCTTTCATACTTGGAGGAATTTTAGAATATTCTAACTTATCACAAAAACTCTAGCTTAAAAATCAACCTGACGCGACCTGCCAAAAGAAATATTCAGAGTATTTGGCTGCTTTCAAATCCAATATGGGGCCGGCCGAGTGGCGCGTTGGTTAAGAGCTGGCTTGGGATGTCAGAGGGCCCCGGTTCCGATCCCACATATGAGGGCCAGTGACACTGCCCTCTACAGCTAAGATGCTGAACAACAGCTCAACCAGGAGCTGGGCTGTCGTGGGTCGCTGGCGACAGCATAGGCTGCAGTCCCCTGCTGCAGTGGGCTGCCATAAGCTACCATGTGTAGCTGGCAGCCAGCGTGAGCAGCCAGCAGCCGCCGTGAGTGGCCGTCCAGAGGCCGGCGACTGATCTGCCTCGCCTGGGAAGAGCGCAATGATGGTGCCAGCTTGGGCCAGTGAAGCAACATCCTCTACAACTAGACTGAAGAACAAACCAACAGCAACTTGTCTGTTCCCCTTCCCCCGATTCCCCAGCGCTGTCCCCCTCCCCTAATTCCCCAATAAAATCTTTTTAAAATAAGTAAATAAATAAAATCTAATATGGACGGGCCAGCCGAGTGGCTCAGTTGGTTAAGTGCTTGCTCAAGAGTGCGAGCTCTGAGCAACAGCGGTTCGATGCCCAGGTCGAGCTGAGCTGCCGCTGAGCTGCCAACAGGTGACAGGATGGCTCAACTTAAAAAAAAAAAGAAATCTAATATGGCCATTTCTTCTGGTGTCATTTGGATCTGATTAGATGCATATTTCTAATTGTACATTGTTTCCACAAAGCCCTACACTCCTGCAGTCAGGGCACATTTCCTTTGATCCACACATCCTCCCTAACACTTCATGGAGAAGACATTCAGTAATGTTGGTGTAGAGAATGGTCAGCATGCACCATCTTTAATCTCTTTACCCCTTTAGGTCTTCAAAGTGTAGATTCCTGATGATTCCATGATAAAGTTTTTCAAACAATGCTCTATTAGCATATAACATTCTACTTGGGAACCTTGTTTCTTTTTATACTTTAAAGTATCAAATAAATGTTTTTTGCCCTTACCTGAATATTTATTGCTTATTGGCACATTCACTGATTTTGTTCTTCATTCATCATTCTTAACAATCTTGTGTTCTTAGGATGTATTCATAGTCAGCCAAATTTGTACTATTGAATGGTGTTAATGTTTAAGGACTTTCTTTTTCTGGGTTGATTATTATCATACCGTATTTGCCGGCGTATAAGACGACTCGGCGTATAAGACGACCCCCTAACATTCCCACTCAAAATACAGAGTTTGTTATATGGTCGGCTGTGTGCGATTTTGCGAGTGTGGTAAAATCGCATAACAGCAAAATCGCATAACAGCCGAGCATACACCCAGCAGCGCTGCTGATGCCTGAACGGTATGTGGAATGAAGTGGGCGGGCATCGGGAGGCCACTATGGCACGGGGCAAGCACTATGGGCAGTCTATCTGAAGTGTACCTGGCGTATAAGACGACCCCCCACTTGGAGGCATATTTTTCAGGGCCAAAAAATCGTCTTATACGCCGGCAAATACGGTAGTACCATGATGATGGTGACATAAGACACTAGAATTTAAATGTTCTTCATCAGATTGTAAATGCTTTAAAACACCCACCTTTATAGGCAAGGTGGTTGTTACCCTTTGTCACCCTCTCGCTCAGTATGACACTGGTTGTCACCATTTTACAGAGGCAGAAACACAACCCCATGGTGAGTGGGATTTAGTCAACCTAAACCAGCAGTTAGTGACTCAGGCAGGACTGGAGTCCTTATGTCTGACTCAAGTGTTTTTTGGAACTTTCTGAGTTTAAAATGAACAGAGCCTTTCTTTTTCTTCAGGTTAAAATACTCCAAGCCACTGGGTTGCCACAGCATCTGTGCCACTTTGTGTTCTGCAAATACAACTTCTGGGATCAACAGGAGCCAGTAGTTGTTGTACCTGAAGTGGATCCCTCGTCCTCTCCTGTCAGCAAGGAACCCCAATGCATGGTTGTCTTTGATAATTGCAATGTAAGTTTGTTTCCCAGACTTGGTCAACATTTAATTATTCAGGTAAAAACAAAACAATGAAATGAACCTTATTTTGTTGAATAATTTGGTACCAATATATGTCTTGGATCAGAGTTTCTTAGAGTGGGGCTGTAGTAAAAATATAAAAAGTGTTACCAATACGTTGAATATGTTTAACTTACATAATGTTATGTGTCAGTTATATCTCAGTAGAACTGGGGGGAAAAACTACAGTGTTAATGCATTTAATTTCTCCACAATCAGAAGTTGACTTTTGTGAGTGCGCGCATACACACGCACATATATGTGTGTACTCTTCTCCAAAAGGAATCCATGTTTCGTATTAAATTACTGAAGTAATTGTCACCTAGAAAAGAAACTAATGCTTTAGAAATAGTGAAGATAGAAAAGAGACAAGAACTAACTTTATTGAGCACCTAATGTTCTGCTAAGCACTTTATATTAGTGTTTCATTTGATCTCGACCTCAGTTGTGTTTGATGATAGTGCTTTTTACCCTCAGAAGCAGCCAGTTCTGAGAGGTCAGCTTGCCCAGGGCTAGTAACTAGCAGAGCCAGGACCACCAGATTTTTAGATTTCGTTTTCTACTGAGGCACAGTTTTAGAGCTTTATCCTACTAATTATTGCAAAATACTGTCTTATATTTATCTTGTAAAGATGGACAGGTTGGAAGAATTTTTGAAAAGTAGGTGATTTTTTTTTTTTTTGCACTGATGATCATTATTTATTTCCTTTCTCTGTTATTGGAGATAGCTTCCTGAAAACTGGGAAAAATTATTTTTCCAATGCACTGCTACCTTATTGCATGTAATAACTTTTATATCAACACATTCTAGATCATTGTTGTAATTCTTAATATAATTATTTATACTTTTAAAAATAGCTCACAAAATATTGCTAACAAAATAGAATACAATGCTGGTTTTTCACGATAGATTTTCAAGGTGAAACATCTTTAAAAAGTCAGAGTTACAGTTATTTTTAAAGTCAGGAACCTTAGGCTGCCTGAGCTTTCATTATGGGTGTAGTGTGACAGTTCTGTTATATAACTAAAATATTCTTTTCTATTTCTCCTCTCCGTGATGAAGTAAGTATATGATGGTGGGTGTAAGTAATTATAAGGTTACCAAAAAGTATTTCCTCTTCTGTAATTATTTTCTTTTAGGAGTTTTCTGTTAACATCACTGAAGACTTTATTGAGCACCTTTCGGAAGGGGCGTTAGCAATTGAAATATATGGCCATAAGATGACTGATCCTCGGAAAAACCCAACCCTGTGGGATTTGGGGATTATCCAAGCAAAAACACGCAGTCTTCGGGACAGGTAAATTTTAGATATCCATCTGATTCCATTTACAATTTTGGCTTCTGTACGTCTGATTATGATGCTTCAGTTTTTAAATAACCACTTTGAAATAGATTTGTAATTAGACCTTCTTGAATTAAAAAAAAGGGGCTAATTTCTTGTTCTGATATTAAGTTTGTTTAACTTTGCTTTTAATTATATTTGCTAATATGAACATGTTTATTACTGATGGAACTATAGGTCATTCTGTTGAGTTATTCTGTTTGGAGGTCATTGTCATTGTTAATTCTCATGTGTAGAATCCTAAGCTGCCTGTAGTGAAATAGAAATGTATGATTTTCCAAGAATTTCAACTATTTCCTAGATGGAGTGAAGTAACCAGGAAAATGGAATTCTGGGTTCAGATCTTGGAACAGAACGAGAATGGTGAATACTGCCCTGTAGAAGTAATTTCTGCAAAGGATGTACCAACAGGAGGAATCTTCCAACTCCGGCAGGTAATAAAATTGTGAATGTTGTCATTTTGAATATTAACATTAAATTCTTTGGCACCATAAAGTGTCATATTGGATTCCTTTTAGCAGAAATATCAGTGATAATGAAATCTAGACTGCCACGTCCATTTTCTATGTTAAAATAATCTCTGACTTCATCTGTGTTTTCCTTCATTTTCAAAACTATTTCCACTTATAATATTTTTAAACTAGTTTTTGTTAGGTTTAAGTAAAAAAGATAAATGATAAAGAACAACTTAGAATTGAATTGTACAAAATAAAACAAGCACATCAAGCAGCATTAGAATATTTATAAAGACAAGGAGGAGCAATGTGACGTGGCAGAAAGAACAAGCCTCCAGGGTCTGCCATGCTGGGGTTCAGCTCTGGCTCCCCTGTGGCCTAGCTGTACATCTGTGTGCAGGCCCAGTAACACCTCAGAACCTTTTCTCAGGTGGAAATTGGAGATGATGATAGTACCAACTTCTTTGGATTAGTGTGAGGATTGGAGATACTGTATATGAAGCACAGAGCTTGGTACATAGGAGGTTAGAAATGTTTTTTCTTCTTTTCAAAGATTTTATTGGGGAATTGGGGGAGGGAACAGCGTTGGGGAATTGGGGAAGGGGAACAGACAAGTTGCTGTCCTTTTGTTCTTCAGTCTAATAGTGGAGGACATCGCTTCACTGGCCCATGTTGGTATTATCATTGCTCTTTTCCTGGATGAGGCAGTCAGTTGCCAGCCATTGGACGCCACTCACTGCGGCTCATGGCAGCTCACGGCAGCCCACTGCAGCCTTACTGCAGCCTACGCTGTCGCCAGCGACTCACAGCAGCCCAGCTCCAGGTTGAGCCATTGTTCATCATCTTAACTGTAGAGGGTGCAGCGTCACTGGCCCATGTGGGATCTGAACCAGGGCTCTGCTGCTCAGAGCTTGCACTCCCAAGCCAAATCTTAACCAAAGAGCCACTCGGCCAGCCCTAGAAGTGTTTTTTCTTCCTGACACCAGCCAAGTCTTCGATTCTCTGCAGACACCATCTGGGTGTCCTGCAGTTGAGTTTGCACCCTAACCACTGGAATTTGCATCAGACCCCACAGTGTTAAGGTATCACGTAAGCACAAGACTGTCCTCTCTTCAGATGCCAGTTCTAAGCATAGGATTCCCAGGTTACCCACTTCTATCTGACATGGCTGCAAAGTCGGGGATTCCCACCACTCTCCTCGTCAGGTTCGATAATTTGCTAGAATGACTCACAAAACTCAAAAAAGCCTGTTACTGTTACCAGTTTACTATAAAGAATACAACTCAAGAACAGCCAAATGGAAGAGCCGCATGGGGCAAGGTGTGGGAGGAGGGATGAGGAGCTTCCCTGTCCTCTCTGGGTGTGCCAACCTCCCTGCACTTTGATTTGTTCACCAACCAGGAAGCTCACTGTTTGTAGGTTTTTGTGGATGTTCCCTTATGTAGGCATGATTGATGGCAACATTGGCCAATGGCGATTCTCAGTCTCCAGCCCCTCTCTCCTGTGGGGTGGGGCTGAAAGTTCCAACTTCTAATCAAGAGTTGGTCTTTCTGATGACCAGCCCCCTCCTGAAGCTATCTGAGGGCCTGCAAGAGTCGCCAAATTAAAAGTCACATCATTCAAGGTGTGCCTATAACTTTAATCACTCAGGGAATTCCAAGAGTTTTAGGAGCTCTCTGCCAGGAACTGAGGACAAAGACCAAATATCTTTTTATGATACCACAGGAGATGTTAAATAAATTCAGCTAGGTAGATATGAATACTTGCCAGAAATCAATAGATCAGGGAAATATGTGAGAATTGTCACTTAACCCCAGGCAGATTGTAATCTGGAAAGTGTCTGTGCTGCCAGCTAAAAATGAGAGAGAATATCTTAATAGAATTTACATAGTAGATTTGGAAATACTTTTTTTGAGCTCTACTTTAGTGGAATATTGCATCCTGTATAGTTTCCATACTTCAGAATAATAGTAAAATATTAGAATAGCTCTAGAAAATGAATATTGAAATAATTCAAAGCAAAATATGAGAAAAGATTAAAGGAAAAAGAAAGTTTGCTGAAATATTTAAGTTCCTGAATGTTTTAGTAGGAGGAAGGCGGTAAGCACTTATTCTCTGACCCCAGCAAATGAATTTGAGCAAATTCATTCATGCATGGTCAGGGAACTAAAAGCAAAAGGAAATTAGTTTAAATTATAGCATGAGATATACATGTAAAATAGGATTCTTAAGGGGGTGAAGAACATCTTTTTTTGAACAACTATTAAAATTACATATATCTTCTTTGGATGCCTTAGACATTCATCTCCTGGAAGGTAAGACCAGATAATTTTCTTTGGTTTAGTCTAAATTAAATATTTAAATATTTGTTATACTCCTGACAACCTTTACTACAGTTTTAGTGATTCTACTTTTTGGGTATTTATCTGAAAAAACCCAAAACACTACTTTGAAAAGAAATATTCATCCATATATTCATGCAACATTATTTACAGTAGCCAAGATATGGAAGCAACCTAAGTGTCCATCAGTAGATGAATGGATAAAGAGGTGGTACATGTATACAATGGAATATTACTCATCCATAAAAAATAATGAAATCTTGTCATCTGCAACATGGGTGGACCCAGAAGATATTACGCTGAGTGAAATAAGTCAGACAGAGAAAGACAAATACCATAGGATTTCACTTATATGTGGAATCTAAAAGAGAAAATAAACAAAACAGAAACAAACTCATACAGAGAATATTTTGATGGTTGCCAGATGGGAAGGGGTGTTGGGGGGGTAGGTGACAAAGAGGAAGGGATTAAGAAGTTCAAAGTGGCAGTTACAAAATAGTCACAGGGATGTAAAGTACAGCATAGGGAATATAGTCAATAATATAATAACTGTAGTGTCAGATGGGTACTAGGTTTATCAGGATGATTACTTCATAAGTTATATGAATGTCTAATCACTATGTTGTACACCTGAAACTAATATACTATTGTATGTCAATTAGTTGAAAATTAATAAAATTAAAATAAATGCAGTCATGCAACAAAGTATGTTGGGTTTATCAAGAAAGACTTAAAGGATGTGCATCTTCACCTGGATGCTGATGATAATCACACAAAGGCTGGCAAGGTTTTTCATATATAAATGGCAAGATTAAAGAATAAAGACACAGAGGTTGGAATTAGGTAAATTTAGGTAGAAAGTAACATATAGGAAGAGCTGGAAAGTAGTAACAGGAGAGGCTAGAGAAGCATATGGCAGCTAGTTCATAGAGGGCCTAGAATGGTAGGTTCATTGAATTCAATATATTTCAACATTAGAACCTCTTGTTCTTGAACAGGAGACGTGGCAGAGGAAGACTGATTAGATTAACCATATGAAATTTCTGGTTTTGTAGTAAAAAATGGTTAAGTATCAGCAGTTACAAAAAGTTCAATCTAATGGTTTAAGTATACTGTTCACAGCTTTTTCTATGGAACATTAAATCATTCTTGGATGTTTCCCCCCTTCTTACCTTGAATCTTCCCTGGAGTATGTGTATTTCACCTTTCAAATTTGGGCACACATTTAAAATAGGCCACTTTCTGTCCTAAGTAAATAAACACAAGGTAGCTAATTGAAAATGACTAAACCATTTTAGACAATTAAAATGTTTTCTTAGGTACTCGTTCCACAAAATATCTGATGCATAGTCCTTGGAAAATATTAAATCAAAAGACATCTGTAGCTCATCTTTTCAAATCTAGCTTGATGGGATCAATCGTTCCCTAAGTTGATTTTTCTGATAATGCCAAGCTATTGGGAATGAAAATCTGATGGGAGAGAACAGTAACTGACTTGAAACCGTATATTAAAATTCTATTTTATATTTCTAGAATTTATAAACCAACTTTGAAGTCAGTAATTTGGGAATACGGGAATTTGTAAAAAAAATAGTACTTCATTGTAAATATACAAAGCCACACAGCATTTATCCTGAAAATGTGCTTAAGAAGAAATAGGTTCTATCTGGTCAATTCTTCATTTTTTAGCTTGGTTTAAAATTATTTTATTTTGGGATTAGAGCAGTGAATCCAGGATAGTAGTAATTATTCTTATTTCTACCCTGATTACTTATTTTTTTTAAAAAGTAGATTATACTATACATGCTGGGTTTGTAAATCTGCTGTTTTTAAAAAAAGTATAGTTAACATCTGTCACCACACTCTTTAACTTAAAATATCATGTATATTTTTCTGCAGCCATATTTAAATGACTATATAATATTATATATACTATAGTTTAAGCAGTTATCAGTATTATACATATAATTTATAACTAGTATTTTATTCTTAACATTGCTTTAAGATTCTTTATGTACGTATGTGATTATTTACTTAGACAAGATTCCTAGAAAGTTGACTTGTAAGGGAAACATATTTTTTAATGCAACTTGCTCTTCAGAAAGCTTTACTAGTTTATATTCCCACCAACAGTGTATGTATTTGCTTGTATCATAAACTTTGGGCAGTATTGGAAATTTCCTTTTTAGAAGATAATTGCTATTTTAGTAAGTGAAAATAAATGTATATCATGCTTATTTTAATTTGTATTAATTTGATTATTAGTAAGTTGAACATTTTTTATTGTCTACCTATTTGCGTTTCTTTTGTTACAATGTTTTTCCTTAATATTTATTTTTAATGAAAAAATGTGTAAACCATATATTCTGTATCTTTCTACTTGCTTAAAAGGAAATTTTTCCTGATTAGTTTTTCAATTTGTAGTTTACTACTTAACATTTAAAATATAGTGTCTCCGAATGAAACGCTTTTCCCAGCATCAGCCTGTAGGGGTCTCTGTAAACTAAATTTTTGTGAATCAAACTGATTTTGAAAAACTCTTAAAATTGCCTGTGATACAGGGGCAGTCCCGGCGAGTCCAAGTGGAAGTGAAGTCTGTGCAGGAATCTGGGACTTTACCGCTGATGGAAGAATGTATATTGTCCGTCGGCATTGGATGTGTGAAAGTTAGAGCGCTCAGATCCCCCAAGACCCAGGAGGCCTTCGTTGTAAGTTTCCGTGCCTGTTAGGTTCTTGCTGAAAGATCCAACCAGATGAATCTTTTGGAACCTGGTAGAAAATGGCCTTCCATGAACAATTCTTTCAGTATTTCTTTTGTTTTCCTTCGATGTCTTTTTTTTTATTTTATTGTAGTACATTTGCATGAAATCACTGCACCAGACTGTTGGTTTTGCTGTGGTCCATGGCAAACTGAGGGTTAAAACATCTAGTGATTAAGCTCCTCGTCACCCACCCCTCTGCAGAAACCCCCTGCTGGCTGGTAAAGACTATTTGCCAGCAGGTGTTTGATTTCCCCTGGGGAGTGGGACTATAAACCCAGCAGGGAAAGTATTGTACTGGTTCCTGAAAAGGTCAAATAAATGTTCTTCACTTTCCTGTGAGAATCTCAAGGTTTTACTCCAACTTCCTGAAAACTGTAAAACCGAGAGTGAGGGTGAGTGGAGGTGGGAGAAAATATACAGTATGGGAAAAGATTCAGGTTGTTTAGCATAGCCTGATTCATGGATATTGTTTCGGTTCTGCATAACATGTTTTGTCTTTTAGGAGGAAGAGGAAGACATGGACAGCTACCAGGTAATGAAGCACCTGTTAGCCTCATCAAATAAGCTTGATTAAAGTACTACTAAATTCCTATTCGTGAGTCCTGCTATACTGTGACTTAATAATTTCACAATTTTGATTCAGATGTTGCTTTTTCTCACATTAAAATGGAGTAGGGAACAATGAGGGTTTCATAGGCTGTAAAGTGAAATCTGTTTAGTGTAGGAAATCATTTGTGACTGTTATCCTTTTTTAAACCTTGAGCTCCTCCCCACCCAGGCTCCCTACGCATCTATTTCTTCAGATTCTCTTCACTGCATTTTCTGTCCTTGAGAGGAGTCACCCACTCCTTTCCCCATAAGAGTTGTCTCATACTGAGCATCAGTCAAGCCACACCCCTTAGGTATTTTCCTTATTTTATTTTAAGCCAGGTCTTTCATTCCCACTTCATGGAATCATACAGGTTTGGTTTTGCCCGCCCCCACCACCTCTTCTCCTAATCTGCAAGATTTTGTTTGTGTCTGTTAAGTTTTATCTTGTTAGGACTCTCAGAGCTCTTTGGATCCCGATTACGTCATCCAGTGTAGTCACTCTCATTCTAATTTGATAAAAATGTCTGCCTTCCTATAAGTCACTGATAAAAACATTGTATCGGAGAGGGTTAAATACAAAGTCCTATGGCACAACAATACAGACTTCTTTTAAGCCGACGTTATTTCATTAATCACTGTTCTTTGGACGTGCTATTTCAGTCATTTCTGATTTCATTCAAGTAGATTCATTGCACATTTCTCCATCTTGTCCACAAGAATGTCATGAGCTATTTGGTTAAGTGCCTTAGCGAAATCCAGATATACCCCATTTCCTCAGCATTCCACTGATCTACCCGGTCTTGTAACTTTATTACAAAAGGAAATGAGGTAAGACTGGTGCACAGTCAGGTGTTGCCTGGTAGAGTTATTCATCTCTGTAATGCCCCCCACCACCAAAACACCACCAAAACAAGGGAGAGACGCATTTACTTGCTGTTTGCAGAGACTGGTGAAGCATGTGGAAGGCTGTAGTGAAGGATTTGAAGAATTCTTATGATGGTATGAAGGGAAAAATTTGAAGATGATTGAGTAGTATTTGTGATTTTTATTCAGCAAAGAGACCTCATAGAAGATGTTAGTTACCAGCGCTTGGAGTTCTGCCCTTTGAACTAATGGGAATAAAACTGGTTCTGGATATCAGAGAATGCCTTTTCAGAAAGGTCTAGAACAGTAATGCTTTAATTTCTGAAAGGCTCTGCCCTGCATAATGGTTGGAGTCAACTAGTGGTGGTAATGAAGACATTCGTGTATAATACTTTACATTATTGAACCAGATTAGAGTAAGTTAAGATAGAGCACAGTGTCAGATATATTGTCTTGGCATTATATTGACTGTCATTTCCATTGTCTTCTTCCAGGATCGGGATTTAGAGAGACTGCGTAGAAAATGGCTAAATGCGTTAACAAAACGTCAGGAGTACTTAGATCAACAACTGCAAAAGCTTGTCAGTAAACATGGTAGGAAAGCAAGTTAAATATTGCCTTTCCCCCAAATCAGTGCATAATGAATTCCCATTTGCAGCCACATAAATTAAAAGTAGATGAACAAATACATCAATAATGGGGATGGCAAGAGCATAGGAGTGTTACTTACTTGTGTCACGTCCTTTCAAAAGAACATTCATCTAATTGTAATGATGTCTTTGCCTTTCCAGCCCCCAACAAAGAAAGAGACCCAGTACACAAAGTAAACATTGTCCCTCAAAAATAACTTAAGGAAGATGCTAACATTTCTTGTCCGAAGGCACTTGAATCCTCTGGCTCTGGAAGAAACCATTCATGTGCCCTTCCATTGTAGGCCTTCTATGGACTGACGATGGCCTTGCTGTGAAGAGTACACCAACCTCTCTAGCTTATCGTTACTTTTTTTTTATAATTTATTTTTTTTGTTGGGGAACAGTGTGTTTTTCCAGGACCCATCAGCTCCAAGTCAAGTAGTTGTTTCAGTCTGGTTGTAGAGGGCGCAGCTCAGTGGCCCAGGTGGGGATTGAACTGGCAACCTCGTGTTATGAGCACTGCACTCTAACCAACTGAGCTAACCGGCCGCCCCTATAGTTACTTTTTTATTGTGAATTTTTTTTAATCACTAATTAGGGAAGTAAAAAGTTTCTAGTGAACTCTCATCAACCAATAGCTGAAATCTGGGCAAATCCTACCATTACACAGGACAAAAGTGTAAATAGCAAGTGAGATATCTATATTTGACCCATATTTCTGATATTCTAGATAAGACAGAGGACGATGCTGACCGTGAAGCTCAGCTCCTAGAGATGAGGTTGACTCTAACGGAGGAAAGGAATGCGGTCATGGTCCCCTCGGCCGGCAGCGGGATTCCGGGGGCCCCAGCAGAATGGTACGAATGCTTCCATGTGTCTTCTGAAGTTCCAAATGCTCCCTAAACAGAATGCTTTCTGTATGAATTTTGCCTGTGCTTTAATTAAAGGAAGACTCATTATAGCATATGGGGAAAAAGTTGTTGGAATTAGAGGAAGTGTTAAATTATTTTCATGAGTTGGAATAACTATGACCTAAAACTATGTTTTATTAAATAATATTGTTATTGGCTCAAGCAATTAAGATTTCTGAGAATCTAAATCAATATTTAGTACCAGTGCACTTAGCATTTAAAAAAATAGTTAATATGTTAATTACTTGGGTCATTCCCTTAAAAGACCATTCGGTCATCATAAAATTGCATCTCCAGGAGTTTTTGGTTTTGGTGCTGGCTAAAAGTATACTGTCAGCAAATGTTCTGTGCCACTTTATAGAAATTAAAAATAGTAAATTAAGCCATACGAGGCCCTTAGGTATATAATTTTATAAGAAAGGAACTTTAAACAAGGGAACTTCATTTATAAACAGGTATATGCGTCTTATAAGTCTGAGTTCTAGTTTCAGAGCATAGGATAATTATACATGATTGCACCAGTGAAAAGGAGCAGCCTTACAGTCAAGCCTTTCTGGCATCTCTGATGTGAAATTATAGCAAACCCAATAGCAGAGCTATTATTGGCTCGAGCTGTAATGGCTCCGAATGTGTATTAAAGCTGTGTCACGAAGTACATGCTGCTGAAACGGTTCACTTTATTTGTTTATTATATTTTAGGACCCCAGTTCCTGGGATGGAAACACACATTCCTGTTATATTCCTTGACTTAAACGGTAAGTTAGGAGGTGCTTTCTGAAGGTTTACCTCTGACGAATGAGTGTCCAGATAACACCTAGAAGCTAACAAAGTAGGCAGTTAGGCAATTCTGTAAGCCTAAGGTTAGGAACCATTCTTTGTTTGCCAGAGGACTGTAATACTTGACAGAGAATGAACTTTCTATAAGAATAGTATTTTTATAATGGCAGTAGGTATGTTTCATCATGATGTGTTTTCATATTTCATTCTACAACCCATACTGCTATGCGTATGCTTTGTTTTTTCAGCAGTTTAGGATGGTAGTAATGTTTTCCTGTACTTAAAATAATTAATTAACTAAGACATTCAATATTATTTTATATTTCAGGTGTACAGCATAGTGTTTAGACAAAAATATTTTCTTTAATTTTTAGGAAAAGGCTTCTCTCTGGAAAGGACTAATAACTAATGATTGCTTATGTAGCATGTTTTATTTTATCTGGTGTTTTCTTAGCACTGTTTAATAAATTTCTCACATTTTCTGTAACTTCTTGTACCATTTATCCCTACCTCGCCTATTTTTAGAATAACTGTCATTTTTTTTTCCTGACTTTTTCCTCCTCATGTAAAATATTTTGGATGTGGCTACATTTTACATATACTTTGAGGAGGGAAAATAAAAATGAGGATAGATTAAAGAGCTAAAAATAAGTTCAAAGCCAGCAGTTAAATTCCTAAAACATCTACAGAAGAACTATATATTAAAATTATCTATTAACAAGATTAGATGTCTTCAGGGGTTTTGCACCTTGTACCACTGAGCTTATTGAGACACATGGAAGATTTTTGTATATACGCAGAGTTAGGGAATAGTACTTAGCCACTGCCTGTCCACCTGATGGGGTTGTGATGTATTACCACTGCACTCTCTCCTTCCTTGTTCTGTTGACCCTTTGGAGCCTGAGGATGACTCTGACCTAGCCTTATATTGGCTTCCTGAATAGGTGAGGGTGTGTGTGTGTGTGTGTGTGTGTGTGTGTGTGTGTGTGTGGATGTGTGTGGATGTGTGTGGATGTGCGTGCACACACACATGCACAAGAATGTGGTAAAGAATAAGCTTAAAGAAGACCTGTTAGTATGACTATTCCTAGATACGATAAGAACCTTATTCAGTCTTAGGCTCATTGTTGGTCCACCCAAGTCCACATACTAGAAGAGATACTTTTGATGCCTACTCACAAATTTATGAGGGATAGGGAGTTGGGAGAGCGAGGCTTGGAACTGAATAATCAAAGGGCCATGGGACCACCCTCCAGTTTCTAGCTCATGGAGCAAATTGATTCATTTGTTGAACTTAACTGTCAGATAATTGAAATCTCACTTCTTGTTTCTCCAGGTAGGGAATTTGGGTTATAATCCTATCATTAATATTTGTGGGCTGATTTGAGTAATATCTTGGGTATCTTGGCTTCAGTTGCCTTCCATGTAAAACAAGGCATAAAGGTAGGAGATTGGATAAGATAATTTCTTGAGGCACTTTCCAACTCCAAGATCCATGAGCTGTTTAATGGTCATCATCCCGTCACGTAAGATTTTAGAGCAAATGAGATTTGACATACAAGAATTTAATATTAAGCACATTGAAATTTAACTGGTAGGGATTATCCTCGAAAATGATCTCCATATTTAATGGAATGTCTTTGTTTTTAGCTGATGATTTTAGCTCTCAGGATAATATTGATGACCCAGAAGCTGGTGGATGGGATGCTACCCTCACCGGGGAAGAAGAGGACGAGTTCTTTGAACTGCAGATTGTAAAACAGCATGATGGAGAGGTAAGTAAAGCATAACTCGGGAGGACTGGATGAAAAGTAGTTTCTTTAACCTTTCCAGGAGCCTTTTGAAACAGGTAGCAAGATCATCGTTTCAGTGCTTAATTTCTCAAGCAAGATAAGTGGAAACCTTTCATTACGACTTCCAGAAAGAATGCAACCACTTCCAGAAGGAGTGAACCATCAGATTACATCTTGTCACCATTTTACTTCCTTTCTGGTAAAGGTTAGGTCAGCAGAGGTCCTCTCTCTAGGGAGGTGCAACTGAAGTACACAGAGGTAAAATGACACCATGCTTGGGATTTGCTTTGGGAATTCTTCAGTAAAGACTTCTTAAAAGTGAAAAAAGAATAGATGAAGCTGGTGTGGCCAAGTGTTGATAATGTTTGAATCTGACTGATGGGTGTTCGATGGGGGCTTATTTTTAAAATTTGAGTATATGGGAAAAATTGCAAAATATTTTAAGGAAGGAAAGCTGATATGATGCTTTGAAGGATACATCATCACTTAGTGGTATGCCTAAAATGCACATCCTGAATCTAACAGTGAGGAAACAATCAGACCATCCCAACTGTGGTGTACTCTGTAAAACACAGGGCCTATGCCCTTCTCTAATGAGTCAATGTCATGAGTGATTCAGAAAGGCTGGGGGACTATTCCAGATTAAAGCACACTGAAGGGACATGGCAACTAAAGGCAATTTGTAATCTGGATCAGAATAATTATAAAATTGAATATGGACTCTATATTATATAATGGTATTATATTAATGTTAAATTCCTGAATATGATCATCATCCAATGGTTAAGAGGATGTCCTTGCTTTTAGAAGATACTTGCTGAAGTAGAGATGTAGAGTTACATGTCTGTAACTTACTCTAAAGCGATTCAGCAAAAAAAAGAAATATTCATCAAAAAAGTAAAGAATGCTGCACGCGCGCGCGCGCGCGCGTGTGTGTGTGTGTGTGTGTGTGTGTGTGTGTGTGTTGTGAGAAAGATAGGGAAAGGGGAAGTAGCAAATGTTAACAGTTGATGAATCTAGATGAAAAATATACAGGAGTTCAATGTACTGAATTTGCAATTTTTCTTTTTATTAAATGTTGGAGCATTTCTCAAAGTAAAAATTTAAAAGCCGGCCAGCCAGGAACATCCTGCTCTGTGCTCCCCAGCCTGGGGTGCCTGAGGCCACAGCCTCATATTGCACAGGCTCTTGGGGCAGCTCTGGTAGACCTGCCTTCGTGACTGGCATGTCCCCCTCAGCCCCAGCCCAGATGTTTCCTTGTGAGGCTTTTTGTTTTCAGGAGGAAACGTACATTGTCTCTGTCTTCTCTGCAGGTAAAAGCAGAAGCCTCTTGGGACTCTGCAGTACACAACTGCCCTCAGCTCAGCAAAGGCACACCTGCGGATGAGCGCTTGTTCCTGATCGTGCGGGTGACGGTCCAGCTCAGCCATCCGGCCGACATGCAGCTAGTGCTACGCAAACGGATTTGTGTCAGTGTGCACGGTCGGCAGGTGAGTCCTGACTCCTCGCTGAAGATACGACTTGAACCACAGGTCTGACATGAGGGCGGGGTCTGGAGTGATGGCTCAGGCCTTCTGTCCCAACAGGCTCTGGGAAGCATTGAGGCTTTCTTTTCCAGGTGCCTGTTCCTGTCCTGTAATCGTGCTTACTTCGGCCCCAGAACTTGTCATCCTGACTTCCTCCTAGACAGCATTCACTTGTTACACTGAGTCTTTCTTACTGAATGTTCACACATTACTGCCATTCTTTTGGGTGCCACAGAGCCCTGTCAAGGCGAAGTTCACTGTTTCTGTTTCTTTCATCTGGGTCCTATAAGATGAGAAGGTTCAGTGCAGTTAGCTGTTTGTGCTTCTTACTCTTGGCTTTCCATACCTTTCTTTCCTTGCAGTCATCTCTGCTAATTCACTGATTCATGAATTTGGAAAGTGTACTCTGTCAAGCTTTGGGGTAAAAAGATGCATAAGAAATAGTCTGCATCGTTAAAGAACCAGCGTCCGTTGGCCTGTGTAGATGTATAAACAGGAAACTCTTCTCTGTTGTAATAGTTCTCTGACTCAGGTGGTCATCTTGCACTGGGAGACTGCAGGTAAGAGAATGGACAGTTTAGACTGAGGAAGTCAGGGATGGCTTTGGAGGGCAGGATCATGTGTGAGCCGCGTTTTTACAGACGGCGAAGTTTGGCAGGCAGAGAAGGATCAACTGTTGGCTGTTCCGTGGAGAGGAGGAAATATATGTGGAGAAGTAGTGAGGATGGAAAGGACGTGGCAGGCTTGGGGACCTTGAGAAGCATGGTGTGACAGCATGTGCTGCGAAGCCAAAGCTGTGGCTGTCAGCACAGTTGCAGCTAGACTATGAAAGAGCTTGTGCCATATGAAAGGGTTTAGGAGAAAACGTCTAGGTAAAGATATAAACCGTTTCTGTTACTGGGTTTTGCAAATATAGGATTTGGGAGGTTGATTCTAGGGATTCTTTTTAATTGTCTATTCTTACTTTTTGGAGCTCTCCTCGGTACATTGCCTAAAAACCAGGACACATGAAAATAAATCTTTTCATTTAAAAGCGCACAGTCATGGTTGACAGAGTCCTAGCTATAATCTCCACCCCTAAAAATTAATCTTTAGTTCTAAATGTCACACTGATATCAATCTTTGAAATGAAGACTGGCGGTAATGCTGCTAAAATTGCAGCTCTTTAGCTTGGCAATCCAACATCAATAAAACCCAGGTCATCGGGTTAGCCATGGATGTATGTGGTGTGTCTCCCATTCACTCGTCTGTTGGTCTCCCTTTTCTTGGAAGTCTTTAAGGGATTGAAAAAGACACGTTGCTCCTGGGGAGCATTTTGAAGAGTCATTTGCCATTTCAGAACTAAAGATTCTGGTTGTCAGGTACTGAGCCTGACCCGGTATAACCTGAGCCTGGCCCAGTACCAGCCCTATCGAATTTTTAACAGAAAGGGTGCATGGTGGAGTCACCAAGTTTCTTTTTTTGGTTTTGTTTTGTTTTATTTTTTTTTTCTATGTTTTGTTGTAGGGACAAGGAATTGCTACATTTCTCCCCTGGTTGAAATGATTTGACAGTATCAGATTGATACTGAATGAAATGATAGTATATTTTAGGACATGGCCGTTTTCTCTCCCAGCTTTAGATACTTCATTCCTAAAAATGACTTCTTTATAGCAAGAACAGGGGCTTCCTTATGACCCTAATACATGCAGGTCAGCTTCAGTGATTCCAAACAAATAGAAAACAAGATAGGAAGATGACAACAGCACCCACGCTTCCCCCCACCACCCATTAAAAAAAACCAGTGTAACTGGCGGTAGCACACCATTGCAAGGCTCACGTCGAGAGAGTGAAGGGGTGAAATACATGGTCTCTTTGCATTCTGAGAGGTTAAAATCTCTTTTTTGTCTTAATTCACTAAAGATTAAAAAATAGGAAAGAAATTATGATTAAGCAAGTTTTTGAAAATATGTATTTCTAAGACCAAACAGCTTGATTTTTCCATTTTCTTTGGGGGTTTTCACGTATTTCCTGCTTCCCTTTTGCATGGGGATTAAGGTTCAGTGTTCGTTTAATATTCTCTCTTCTTCTTATCTTTATTCACCAATTGTATTCTGCCCTCATCCGTGCTCTCTTCAACCTCTACAGGATGTTCAGTCTTAGCAGCATCTTCAAATGAGTCATCTATGCATTAATTCAACAGTTCAATTCTTAACTGCGCAAAGAGCGCAGTCAGCATAAACAATGACCATGCACTCTTAAATCATTCTTCATAACGATCCTGCTTTGGTCAAGAATTTAATGCCTGAACTTGTCAATATTCATAGTACAAGTTGTCCATCGTGCTGGGGAAAAAAAAGAAGTGTAAGAGTCACCAGTCCTTGCTTACATCTCAGTTAGAAGGTCATTTTATTGTGTAGAAGTCAACAGCATTATTTCTGTAGCCTTTTCGCAGAGCCAAATTAGATGTCTAGTACCAGTTTCCAGAGTGTATTGCCTGTACTTTTGATATATTGGGACTAGGACCTGCCACCCATTGTACATATTTAGATATGCAGTTATCTACAATTGGTTTTGTGTGCTAAGATAAAGTTGAGGCACCTGTATTTAGTGATTTGGATTTCAACTTGCTTATATTGGAAATATGCTGTTTGTTTTTGGTTAGAGTGAATGCAGTATCTTTATGCTGTCTCTCTGTCAATGTAAACTCGGTTTTTGAGATGGGAAACCATATCTTCTGTTTTGTTTTTCTCTAGGGTTTTGCTCAGAGTCTCCTAAAAAAGATGTCTCATCGAAGTTCTATTCCTGGCTGTGGAGTGACTTTTGAAATTGTCTCCAATATTCCAGAGGTGAAGGATCATATGAAATTTGAATTTACTAAAAGTAAAGATCTAACTTCCTAAAAAGTCACCCACCCAAGAAATATGCATTAAATGGAATTGTATATTTAGGGAAATACTATAGATTTTTAGAGGAATTTCCTAATTTTAACTTGACTCATAGTAAAATGTGGCTTTAAAGGTTCTGGTGTTAGTGTTTTGTTAAAGAAGAACATTCTTTTGAAACGCAAGTCAACACCTTTTCATTCAGAAGGTGAAGAGGAATAAAAGGTGCAAACTTCCAGTTATAAAATAAATGAAGTCACAGGGATGAAATGTGCTGCACAGGGAATACAGTCAATAATATTGTAATAACTTTGTATGGTGACAGATGAGTTCTAGACTTATTGTGATGATCACACTCTAAGGCATATAAATGTCAAATCACCATGTTGTACACCTGAAACTAATCTAATATTGTATGTCAACTATACTTTAATAAATAATAAAATTTTAAAAAGACGTAAGATAATATTGTAACCCTCAAAGGGAGACAACGTTGTGTAGGGTAGAGATTTAGTGTTTCATTTTGGAGTCAAACAGAAATCTTGTTTCTTTTACCTATTACTGAAGTGAACTTGGGTGGGTTACTCTGATCCTAAATAGTTTCATTTATCAGATGAGGTTAGGGATACTTCCAAAACAGGCTTGTTTTTAAGGATTAAATGAGACAATGTATACAACTTGTTGCTGTTATTGTAATTGCTATATTATTATAGTTGCTATTATTTATTATTATTTCTCTTTATGAACAAAGTGAGATATTCACAGGAATTAAACAAATAGAGGTTAAAATATCCCTGACAGAAGCTTACTGGAGAATGCAGTTTATACATGCTTTCTAATATTTAAGCCCTGATTTAGACAAGATTTATTTATCTGGGCACCGGCACTGCTGGAATTGGAGGCCTTCCTTACAGGGGGAGGAGAAATGAGGGGGTCTAAGAAAAGGAATAAGAAAAAGAGAAAGAAGGGCAGCCCCTCTGCCACATTCCCCGTCCAGAAGCAGGGAGAGAGTAAGGAGGTACAGACTGAACTCTCCTCAGGAGTGGAAAATGGGAGTAGTGAGGCTGAGCGCGTCCTCCTAAGCACACCATCAGCATCAGCCTCGTTCTCTTTATTTAAGGGCTCAGTGTTTGTTGATTGATTCTGTTGAGTGTTTGAGCAATAGATGGACATTATATATTTTAATACAGAGACCAGTTTTGGAAGGGTAAAAAGATTATGCAATACTTAGGCTTTGTTTTAGATTTCTTGGGTTGCAAACGCACTTCTTCCTCTCAAAGAATGTCAAATAGTAACTAGTTTTTTCCTGGATCTTCAAAGTGTTAGACTTACACAGTAAATATTAACTGTTAAACTATTTAATTTGGAGCCTGCTGAGCAAATGTTAAGTCTGTTTTCAGAGTTAGACTACCTGCAAACTCTTGGGTCTATAATAGATTACTCCTTGTATGCCTATGTGTTTGATTAGAGACTTACTGTTTATTCTCTGTATCCGAATATTTTATATGTTTTTCCAATTGTTTCCGATCTTAACTCTATAAATGATTTGTATGCAGTTGAGAAACAGCTGTGTTCAGAATCTAGTGCATATAGTGGCAGTTATGTGAGCCATCTTCACGTCTTCCTTTGTTCTCTTCATCTCTTCCCCCCCCTCCCCATAGTTTTCTTATCCTCTTTAAAAGTGCTTTTGTTCTGCAGGTGATATGGTTTTCAAAGGGAAGAAATGTGGGGGAATCAGCTGAAAGATAAACATAGAGCCTCATGTGATTGGGCTACCTGTTAATAATTAGCTGAACATCTCAGTTGGCAATCGTCATTTTCAGGAAAAGTGAGACTTACAGCTTACAGTGTCAGGACTAAGTTTATTTTTTTATTTAAAAACAAAAAGATTCCCTTAAGAAGCTAGGTTTCATCACGAAGAAGCCCCGAAAAGTTCTTTGTGTTCCCTATTACAGAAGGCTGAAGGCAAAAAGAAATGGTCAAAGGCCAGAGAGCAACAGGAGACATTTTTTAAAAAAGCAACTAGAATGCTTTCATTGTGTTGGGGAGAAGGTCATTAACAAGAACTGAGACAAAGAGTTTTCATTCCAAAGGCTTTATTACCAAGCTTGGTGTCCGTCTCATTAAAAAAGAGAGAGCGGACCCCAAGTCCTGGCGGGTGGGGAATTTATAGCTGAAGCTGGATACAGAAGCAAAAAAAAGCGGTTAGTGAGTAAAAAGAGAAAAAAATTTTAACAAACAGAGTTAACTTATCTTCTAGCTAGCCATAAAACTTGGCAAGTTTATTTTCTTCTAACGAACTATAAATCAGGACTTATTTATCTTTTCCTAACAACATACCTAACTTATCTTTTACCTAGCAAGCAAGCCATAAAGCATATTTAGTTTATCTTTTCCCTAACAAGCAAGCTATAAAGCATACCTAGCTTATCTTTTCCCATTCTCTTGACAAGATACTTTGTTAATTTTTGCTGAAGCAGAAGTTTCTTTCATTCCTCTGGGCGGGGGGTCTTAGCCTAGGATCTGGGCCTGGGTCCCCACAATTGCTAGTAGGAGTATAAAAGGATACCAACCACTTTAGAAGATATACACCTACCCCATGATCCGGTAATTCCACTTCTGAGTCCTTAAGCAAGAGAAATGAAAGCATATATCCATAAAGACTTGCCCAAGAATATTCATAGCAGCTTAATTCAAAATAACCTAAAACTGGAAACAACCCAAACATCCATCAACAGAGGAATGGATAAATAAATTGTGGTATATCCATACTTTGGAATCTTAATCAGCTATACAAAGAAATGAACTATATGAATGAATCTCAGAGTCATTATGCTGAGTGAAAGAAGCTAGACATAAAAGAGTATGATTCCATTTATTTGAAATTCTAAAACAAGTGAAGCTAACCTCTGGTCCAAGAAATTATCTTGCCTTGACGAAGGGACTGTGTAGCCCATGAATGGACTTCCTGAGGTAATGGAATGCTTTACATCTTGATAGGCATGTGAGTAACATGGATATATGTGTTGCTTAAAACTTGCCCCTCTTAAAAATCAGGACAGTATCTGTTCTCTTCAGAGACCAGAAAGCATTCTGTGTTGACTGATAAAAAGAATACGTGCCCTATCAGGAGTCAGGAGACTAAGTTCTAGCCTTACCTCTTTTGTTAATTATGTAGCCTTCCTCTTTCCTTATCTATAAATTGAGAATGATTTCTCCTTTTCAGAGATAGTAGAAGGCTCAGATGAATGCTACAGGAGACACAAGTTTTGCCATCTTCCAAATTCTTCCTTATTTTATCTGTTCTAATGCTCATTTAAATTTTAAAAAATATTTTTGAGGTTAGAAGGTGTCTTACAATTGATTTCTTAAAATTAATTGACAGGCTTTTTTTTCCTCCTGAGATGTGTAGAAAATGCTGTTTTTTTCTTAAAGTTGATGGCATCTTAAAATGCAGTGGCACATGGATATAGGTTTTGTAGTTTTTGACATTATTATAACAAGTTCACAAGTAAATAAAGTATCTGATGTTCCCTAAGAAGAGTAATTTGTTATGAATCAAGTTTGCTTGAGGTGATTAAATACATTAACAAAGTCCTTCCCTGGCTTGTGACTCTCCACCCATGTCAGAGGAGCAGGGTGGGCACACCAGAAAGCACAGCGAGTGAGAATTTGCCAAGCTCATTTTCTTGGTAGGCTCGCTGCCTTTGGCGTCTGCCCCTCAAGAGTTGGGGATGGAGACCAGTTTTACAAGCTGCCACATTTTGAATATGTAGTCCGTGGTCAGCTGCCTAGTACAAGTGTTGAAACGCAGCCCTTCTTTCTGCTGTTTTTCTCCATACCCGTGGCTGCCGCCTACTGTAGTTGTTTGGCTCCCGCCTTATCTAGCTGTCATGCCAGCTCCTCATTCCTCTCTCTTGCCCCTCAACATATGGTCCTTAGGTATCGTGGTGGTTATATTTACAGCTAGCCCACCAAATCCTTTCTAACCAGTGATGTTTTTGTTTTCAATGGAAACAGAGGACAGTTTTGTTGAGAAAGTGTGCTTTCAGCTACGCTATGTTTAAACCAGCCTTTCAGGACAGCCTAACTACCATTATACCGTGATTTCTGTGGGAAATGAGTTTTGAGTTCCAGAAATTAACTTCAAAATGGAACTTTGGAATGTATCCCATTTATTAGTTCAGTACTGTGTGTGTGTGTGTGTGTGTGTGTGTGTGTGTGTCTTTGTATAGATTAAGAAGCTTTTATGTTTTCTTCTGCAATGTACTTAACTTTAATATACAACTTTCCATTCTCCAGGATGCCCAAGGAGTTGAGGAACGAGAAACATTAGCAAGAATGGCCACTAATGTGGAAAACACGGATTCCCCTGACTCAGAGGCATATATTGAGAAATACCTCCGAAGCGTGCTGGCCGTGGAGAACCTTCTCACTTTAGACCGCCTTCGCCAGGTCAGCCCACAGAGCTGGTGGCAGCAGTGCTCACCCCACCTGATTCTGTGTTTGCCTTTCTGCAGTTGACAGTATTGTTGTGTCTAGACTTTTGAAGAGCCTGTTTAAGTGGAGCATATTAATTTAGCTTAAATGTGCCAGTTAAGCCTTTGAAGATATAAAAGCTACTTTTGGAAAGTTACTTTTTCCAGGAGACTAAATGGTACTTCGTTGCCTTGAAGTAATGGAAGAACATATTTAACCCTTACTGGCTAAAGAATTCTTTTAAAAATCCCTTCATACTGGGCAGTAATGTTGCTGAAGAAATACGCAGTAATGAAGCACAGTGGGCCCTTCACAGCTGGCTATGCCGGCTCGAGCCTTAGAGTGGTGTCTAGAAGGGATAATAGAAATGCCAGCAATAAACCCAATCCTTAGAGAAACCCTAAACCTCATTGCACCTAGCAATATTCAGACTTTTTTTAAAAACCAAAGATACTAATGAAAAATAAAAGTGAATGGTCTAATTTTCACGATCTTTCTCCTGGGACTAACCTCTAGCCAGCTGCAAAGAGGCCATCAGTAGATAAAGAAGAGACTGATGTAGGTAACCTGTTAGCTATATAATTAACTGAATATTCCACAGTGATTATAACTGGATCATTGTCTCATGTGAAGTTACAGCCATTATTTACAGCCATTATTTAAAGAACTAGGAATGTGTGTGTATAGATCGTAGCTCAAAGCCTGCTTTTGATAGCATTGCTTTGGAGGTGTGTCTCTAATAAGTATTTTTCCCCTCTTTCCTGACTGACAGGAAGTTGCAGTGAAGGAACAGCTGACAGGAAAAGGGAAGCTGAGTAGGAGGAGTATTAGCTCTCCAAATGTGAACAGGGTGAGAACACGGAATTCCCATTCTGTGCTCGGCTTGTGTTCTCCTTTCTCGCCTCCCCTTTCCGTCCTTTACGTCTCATCTTGGGTATCATTTCTTTGTCTGAACTGATTGAAGTCCTCCCGCCGCCCCTGTTCTCTTCCCTGTAGCATCTGTGCCTGCCTCTGTCACTGTCCTCCCTAATAGGGGAAAGGGTACCCATTTATGCACCTCTCTAAGTGTTTCTCCTTTATCTTTAATCACCAGTGCCCAGCACAGTGACTGCAAGTGTTCAGTGAGGGTTGAACTAAAACCAAGCTAGCCAAGTACCTAGGGTAATCCATTCGAATTTTCTGGGCATAAGTTAATGACTAAATTGAGGAGAAGTCGGGGCCAGGCTTACAAACTCAGTTGCTGACAGGTCATCCAGGGTAGTATAAATGTGTAAAATAAGTTAGGTTTATTTCATAACAGTGTCTTCAGTTTGTTGTTGTTTTTTAAGACATAGATGTATAATTTATGAGCATATTAAGCATGCAGATAATTCTGCACAAAGAAATATGCTTGAAGCCCCATGATTTATCTCTTTTTCTTACTTTTGATAAAGATGTAGTTATGAGAAATACTACACCTTTGTCTGAACTTTACACTAAGAAAAAACACAGTGTAAGTATTGTAACAAAGAGCAGCTGACCCTTAGCCTTAGTGTTAGACTGACAGTAGTGAGAGGTAGGAAGGGATCAAACTGGGGGCACATGTGGCCCCTGAGTGACTGAGTGCTATCACTAATGCTCTGAGACCGAAAGGTTGGGCACAGGCTCAGACATTAAGAAACATCACTTTAATCCAACATAAATAGCTTCTCATTCCTTCAGAAAATGATCTATTAAAATGTACAGACATATGCAAAGATTTGGTGGTTAGAATCCTGTGGTTTAAAATAAATAGTTTAAGTGTTCACATTTTCTATGAATATCCAGAAAAAGGAGTTGTAAGATCAGGACACCAGTAAGGTACCCCAGTAACCTGGTATGCTCTAAACGGAAGGGGGTAAACAAATGAAGTATCTCTTACTTAGGCTCATTTAGTTGTTGTCTCAGTGTAAACTGGATATCTGATCTTACACAAACCTCCCATCTTAAAATTGTTGATAACTAATTCATTTTTAAAAGATGTGTGCCTCACAATGTCCCAAAGGCCACTAGTCTAGTTTGCAGCTTTTGTCTTGACAGCCTCTCTGCTACTATCCAACTTTAACATGCTGTTGATTTGGTTTTCAGTCTGTGTTTCCAGGACCATCCATTTATGTACTTTCACACATAAAGGACTAATCCCCCTCTTTATGTCTTCCTCAGTTGTCTGGCAGCCGACAAGATCTCATTCCATCCTACAGTCTAGGCAGCAACAAGGTAAGATTTTGTATATTTTTGTGAGTCTTAGACCTATTTCCCATTCAGCTTTCTTCTTCTCAAATATCATGTGCTAGTTTTTGCCAGCCAAAACGTCTCCTGTTCTTCTGTACATGTGAAATTTATTGGAATGTGTTTAGAGTTCATTTCTTTTTACCTTCCAGTTAGAATATGATTTTTTTTCTTCTTTTTAAAAGATTTTATTGGGGAATTGGGGGAGGGAACAGCGTTGGGGAATCGGGGAAGCGGAACAGACAAGTTGCTGTCCTTTTGTTCTTCAGTCTAGTTGTGGAGGACATTGCTTCACTGGCCCATGTTGGTATTATCATTGAGCTTTTCCCGGCTGAGGCAGATTGGTCGCCGGCCATTGGACGGCCACTCACACTGGCTGCCGGCCACTCACGGTAGCTTATGGCAGCCCACGCCCCACTGCAGCCTACGCTGTCGCTGGTGTAGAATATAATTTAATAGACCTTATTATTATTCTACTTTTTAGGGGTTAAAAAAACAATTTTGTTGCTTAAGTTCCTATTTCCATTTAAAATGTTCTTCCAATTTGTGTCATAAAAGGGACTTCAAATCAGGCTTTTAATAGTAAAATATTAATGTAATGATTGAAAATGTATGCAGAATAAGAGGATTATACCTAAAAGTTAATATTATTTGTTAGAAGGAAACAAAAAGGGAACAGAAATTTTGTTAGCTGGAATTTATTTACTTGTTAAAAGAAGATTGGCTATTTAATAATAATTATTAAAGCTAAGTGGGATTCATTATGCTACTCTATTATTGTTTATTATGCTACACTGTTTTTGTATATGTGTGAAATTTTCCATATAAAAACTTAACAGTAAAGTTGATAAACACTCACTTTTAAGATTTAGGTTACTAGTAGTTTGCCTAAAATAGTACTTATATATGTATGTGTATATATCCTGTTACTTCAGGCAAACTACTAGTAACCTAGATCTTAAAAAATGAGTGTGTGTGTGTGTGTGTGTGTGTGTGTGTTTATAAATATATAAATTGCTCTCCAACTCATCAATTTACTGATCATCTACCGTGTCTCTGAAAGTATGCTAAGGTTTAGTACTTCTTTATACTGATCCAATAAGTTTGATTAGCTCTTGATAAGCAAAGCATAGGTGGCAATTACCTGAACAAAGCAGAGTTTTTGGAAAATCGATTGTGTCATTTTTAAATGTAAATAAATTAAATATTGTAAGGAAAACCTATTTATAAGAAAAAAACATGACTTTCTGTGTTTTCTGGAAATACATCTGACCCAAATCCTCAATTGTAAGTTTCTTGAAAGAAGTGGTCAAAATTTCTTCAGCTTTTCTATCCACTGCCCTGCCCCCTCACAAGTTTACTTATGTTTAAATGCAGAAAATAATATTATCTATTGGGTTGTTGGAAAAGTCATGACGCATGTTTGCGACAGATGGCACTAGTTCATTTTTTGGAAGTACTAGAGTCAATCACATCTATGTTATTGCTACGTCATTTGACAACTGACAGTTCTACAGCTGACAGTTCTAGCTTCATTCTAAAAAAAAATTGAGCAATTTGGTTGAGTTTTGGAGATTTTACAAGTTGAAGATGGAAGACCAAACTGTGCATTTTTGCCATATTTTACTGTTTTACTTCCATAAAGGGAAGAACATGCATCAAGCTTGTGAAAAGCTGCATAAAGTTTATGGTGACAATGCTCTACAAGAATGTTAGTGCCAACGATGGTTCACGAAGTTGTGCGCTGGTGATATTGATCTCAACGATGCTCCTCAGTCAGGGAGGCCCACTGAGGTTGATGACGACAAAATAAAGACATTGATTGAGTCAAACCCAACTTATATGATGTGAGAGATTGCAAAAACATTAAACAGCCATCATTTAAGCATTCATGACCACCTGAAGAAGCTGGGATACGTAAGCAAGCTCGATATTTGGGTTCTGTATGAACTCAAAGAAGTTCATTAGATGGCATGTATAAACATCTGCAATATGTTCATTAAACATGAGGGAAACGATCCTATTTCGAAGCGACTGATAACTGGTGATGAGAAGTGGATTGTCTATGACAATGTGGTGCTCAAACGGTCTTGGTCCCGACGTGATGATTCGCCTCAAACGACATCGAAAGCAGACATTCATCAGAGGAAGGTTATACTCTCAGTGTGGTGGGATTTTAAAGGTGTCATGTTTTTCGAGCTCCTACCAAGGAACCAAACAATTAATTTAAATGTGTACTGTTGGCAATTGGACAGTTTGAACGAATCCATCATCCAGAAATGTCCAGAGCTTGTTAATTGTAAACGAGTAGTGTTCCATCGCGACAACGCGAGACCACACACAAGTTTGATTATGTGTCAAAAATTATTGGAGCTTCGAATGGGATGTGTTGCCACACCCACCATACTCGCCTGACCTTGCACCGTCAGACTTCCACTTGTTTCGCTGTCTTCAAAACTCCTTGCGTGGTATTACGTTAAATTCAGATGAGGCTGTAAATCAGCACCTTGTTCAGTTTTTTGCAAAAAAGACAGGTCCTTCGAAGAACGAGGAATTATGAAGCTCACTGAAAGATGGCAAAAAGTTATCGAACAAAATGGGCAATGTATCATTGATTGATCTTTGTACTTTATATAAATAAATGATCTTTGAAAAACATAGACAAAATACATCATGACTTTTCCGACAATCCAATACCTGAAAGAAAAATACCGGGCTTCATCTATACCAAATAAATAGAATAAAGGAACATGGAAGCCGTAATGGAAGTACGACTGGGTAGAGTGGGAGCCCAGAGGTGAAAATGGACACTTTCATGTGCATTATGCAGCGATGAAGAGAGGCTGCAGAGAGGAGATAACCCCCCCCCCATAAGTTTGATACTGAAAGATGATAAGGTCCACTCAAGGCTGGAAAGGAGCTGAAGCAGCAGCATGAACAAAGTGTGGAGGGATGAAAGAGGTTGCTATGCTGATGGCAGTACACACAGCATGAGTAAAGCAGAGGGTGTGTGTGAGGTAGAACCCAGAGAATCGGTGCCTTATTTTAGAAGATCTAACATGTGCCAAGGAGCAAGGCGGGGAGTTGGGGAGCCGCTGAAGGAATAACAAGGCAGTAACATGCTTAAATTTGAATTGGAAACGGTTTTTTTTAACAGTTCACTTAAAGTCCACTTCTGTTCCTGGCTATGGTCCATAAAATTACACTGGAATAATGTATGTAGTAAAAATGTATGAGTTATCAATGCGAAAGTGTGAACAAATTTCTAATTGGGCAGTGGAGAGATCAATAAGGGAGAAGATGCAGCAATGGGGAGAAAGGCAGGAGAGACTGAGCTATGGTAAGGAGACAGAATCTCAGAGTTGTGTGGGCATGAAGGATGAAGTTGCGTGGGGGCAGAGACTAGGGTAACATCTGGGTATCTGGACGACAGTACACAGAGATCAACTGTAGGAGGGGCAGGCTTAGGGAAGAAAATGATTCAGTTCAGCTTTTGACATTATGCTATCTATTGCCAGTTCAAGTGTCTGGAAGCCTGGGCTGAAAAGAGATTGAGGAGCTCAGGGCATAGTTGAAATAGTGGGAGGGATTAGATCACAAAGGTGAAGCCATGAGGGCATGATGGTAACACTTAGGGGCAAGTACAGGACAGAAACTGGGCAAGCCACTGAGAGGAATCTTCAGAGAGGCAAGAAGACCAGGGAGGGAGAGTGACTTGGCAGCTGAGGGAGAAAGGTGTTAAGGAGGACTCCTGCCAGATTCTTCAGAGACCGTAAAGTGAGTACTGTAAAGACTATTTTGGATGTGACAGTAAAGAGTTTGTTGGAGGGCCGGCCGAGTGGTGCATTGCTTAAGAGCTGGCTTGGGACGCCAGAGGGCCCCGGTTCGGATCCCACATATGAGGGCCAGTGATGCTGCCCTCCACAGCGAAGATGCTGAACAACAGCTCAAGCTGGAGCTGGGCTGCCGTGGGTCGTGGGCGACGGCGTAGGCTGCAGCCCCTGTGGCAGTGGGTTGCCATGGGCTACCGTGTGTAGCCAGCAGCCAGTGTGAGCGGCCAGCAGCCACAGTGAGCGGCCGTCCAAAAGCCGGCGACTGATCTGCCTCACCCGGGAAGAGCGCAATGATGGTGCCAACTTGGGCCAGTGAAGCAATGTCCTCCACAGCTAGACTGAAGAACAAAAGAATAGCAACTTGTCTGTTCCCCTTCCCCCAATTCCCCAGTGCTGTTCCCATCCCCCAATACTCCAATAAAAATCTTCAAAAGAAACAAAAAGAGTTTGTTGGAGGCCTTTCCCAGGGCAATTTCTGTGGAGGGTTGGGGTGAAGTTAGGAAGTCATTTAAATAAGTGTATATAACATTACATATTTTTGTTACTATACCGGGATTTCCCCTATTTTAGTCATCTTGATTTCTTGGGGTGCCTGGGTAACTTGTCAAAGATGAGAAAATTCTGATTTCCACCCTCTCAGATTTTACTGATGTCACTGTGCTATCATAGTGACAAGGATATGATCTCTCCACTCTGTTCCAGTATCTATTTTAAGTTGTTGTCATACACATCAAAAAATTTAAATTACCTTTTCTCCCATTGCAGCAGTTTGCAATTTCCTCAGAATTTGGCCTCTTTCATTCCTTCCTCCCTGACCACAGCAGTCCCCACCCTCTGACAGACAGTGGAGTATTGTCAGGGCAAACGGAAGGTACCACCCTGCCCTTACTCATTTTGCTCCCAATTCATTGTGGGACTATCATTTTATCTTGTTTTGAACTCTTGACACCCACGAGCCCTGAAAGGTTACCAGGTATAACTGGGCTTCAGCCAACGTCTTGTCACTGTCCTGTGAGCATTGCTTGACTTCTCGCTTTTGTCCAGAGCTGCAGTTTAAATGAATGTTCCTATATCAAAATTAGAGACCTTTTGCTTTTCACTAGGGTAAAGGTAGAGGAAAATCGTTCTAAGACAGGTTTTTATGGATAATGCTTG